GAACGAACGTCCAAAATTGATGAATCTGAGAAGTTGACCGAACACCACAGGGGAGATTCAGCTTCCCCCCTCAAGCTTTATAAACAACCCATTTGTAGACGATCCCTGTCGATAGTCCGGACGAGTCAGGCTTGGTGCTCCCACCTCCTCCTCCTCCTCCACTCATTAGTGCCACCCCACCGCCCCATCTCGTATGCAAAACCGACTTTCAGAGAATTTTAGATTGCTGTTAAAACCATCAATTCATGGTGGGTTGGTTTCTTTTCTGCCAGCCGTGACGTAGGCGACTCCCTGCTTCGGGCGTACGCGAAGGAAGCAAATGGCATCCACTGCAACTCGTAAAAAGCAAAGGCCGTCGGCCGGTATTGCCGAGACTATGGCCCATTGCCGCCAATAGAGTTCCGTGTTTTTGTTGTGATAGCCAGAGACATCTTGTTTATGAAACTTTAAGCTCTTCAAACAAAAAAACGAGAAAGACTCACTAGGAAAGGTCAATGACTTCAGGCTTTCAACACGAATGCTTTCTTGTCCTCAGGTCCAATCAGGAAACCTCCATTTGTGCCCATCCCCATCATACAAATCCAGGCGAGATGAGGCACACCCATGGTCAACGCTGTTGGGGTTGTGGCTGGCAGGCTAAATTCAGTAACCCCCCTTTTAGCTCGGTTGTATGGTACCTTGCATGGAAGAGCCGCCCCCGTGCAGCACTGATTTCCACCCTAAAGAATCTAGTGTAGTAAACAAAACGGGCTGTTCTCTTCGGGCTCTCCTCCTTCTGTGCCTCTTTTCTCGTCTGGGTTACCAGATACGCACGCACGCAGCAGGCCGGGTTGGGCGTGATTGTCAGATTTGTTGGCACCGGGCAGCGAAAAGCCATCGTTTTCCTCGTGTATGTACTTTTCCGAGGCGACGATCAGTGGCAACGGGCCCCGTCATCTTGGTGGACAGACCTCGAGCCTGTCACTTGTCAATCCAAATTTGACACAACCCGACCAGTTGGAGGCTCGTCCAGCTGTCTTTTCGGTGGGCACCGCCAAGCTGGTTCAAAAGTTCCGACGGCGGAGTTCCTGACAGCTGCAGCCTGCAGCGGGATCAGTAAGTGTGACTAGTAGCAAGGACTTGGCGTCATACCAGCCCACCTGCACTTGGGGCAGAACTATTGATAGAAGACTCTACCTTAGCCGCAAACGAGCCACAGTAGCTCTTCGGGGGAATTCCGGGCCATTGTGTCGTATTTGGAAACAACTCGTCGTATCTATCGTGTTATCTTCGCAAAGTGGCTGCCATCTTCGCCATCGTGCTTTCCAGAGTGCCGGAGAACACACACTGCCGCCGCTAAAGCCGCTGGTGGAATGAGTTGTCATGGTCAAGGCGCCCCCAACGCGCATCGAATCCCCGGCACGGTGGTCTTCGGAAGTAGCCGAATGGGGTCATGATGCAAGCACAATCTTAGCCGCGGCGCGAAATTGAGACTTGACAACCGCATGCCGCGCATGCAGAACGCTCATTGAGATGACTATTTTAATAGTTACCTGATGCTGCCTCGAAATCTGTCACTTCGATGTACTACGTAATATCCAGCCTGGAAAGAGACTCAAGTGAATGATGTGCTCTCATTCCCGCTACCCGTTCTCAGGCAAGGGGATTACTTGAGAACAACAGACAACAGAGCATACTTTTCGAAATTGTTAACCAGCACTTTGTTGGATTTTATTGGCACACCCAATGGTAGTTGGCCGGCAGCGTTGAGACAAGGACACAGCAACATAGTCTTTTCTTCATGGTCTACCAGATTGCCGCCCACGCTATCTTTCAAAGAGAGAATCAAGTGGCGCGGAAAGTCCTTACACCTTGCAAGATGACTTGATCGCTTTGATGCAGGCTACGACTGGGCGTCATGCTGCCAAGAACAAATACTTTCTCATGAAATAAGAGTTGCGGACATCTCCGCTGGATCAACGAAACCTTTGATCATTCATCTATTTCACCCAGTTTCAGCTGGGGTTTACAAATGAATCGATGATTGATTGAGGCTCGGGCTGGTAAAGGAAGGCCACCAGTTGACCTGATAGAGCATGTAGATGACGGAAGGTCTTACTATGTATAGGCATAGCTCGAACTCATGGGAAAAGAGGCATTGCAGCCTTCCTAAAAGAACACTAGAATTATCCAATCCTGAGCCCCCGTTAGCTAGAAATGAATCAAGAGGTCGATGGGTGGTATCATGTACGTAAGACTTGCAATTCCGCTAGCATATATCAGAATAAAGGGCATTAGTTTCAACACCGATGTCAGCTTAGGCATCATTTCTTTGACACAGACACATCAAGAGCCTGCCTCACGTGCACGATAAACATCTTTGAGCCATCAATTTTCAAACCCCAAAATCAGATTTCTCACATTCTCAACATTCATTTCATGCTCGCGTGTATTATGACGTTCACTTTCTCAAGCACAGTGTGGTTTGATGGCTCCTGGCTTGTGAATCTTTTCGGGCATCATTCACAGATTCAATTCAGTATGCATGTGTTCACAAGACCATAAGGTTTTATGACCCATAGCTTCCGTGACTGGCTCTAAAAGCCATGGTGACGGGGCCTGTTTTCGCATTCGAGAGGGGTCCGAAGTTTTGTACCACGCAAATTTTGTGAGCTCCGAAGCATCCATCTGCCTTTTCAGATCGTTCCCCAAGCTACTTAACAACGTTTGGACCAAAAAAATTAAGCTTCAATGTTAGACATCTGTGGTAATGTCTTCAGCATCTCGTCACTATCGTGCCCGTAAGCCACAAAATAACTCCCGATCACATTAAGGGCTGTGAGTTTCAAAGCCTTGGCGAGTATGCTTCCGATAAGACATTCCTGGAAGCCTGTTACTTTCAAACTGCGAGAGCATGAGGTCAACCTTGGCAGGGTCTGGCGGTGCTCTCTTCAGATCTATGAACCAGCTCAGGGGCTCGTCAAGTATCTCGTCAAAACGTAGTTCTTTCCGCTTCTCGGACAGATCGCCGATCGTGTGCTGTCTGAGAACGTCCTCTTGGGCGATCCGCGTCAAAGTTGCAGAAGAGATCGCTTGGAGATCTGAAGCGAAAGATCACGCAGCTAAAAGCCCATATGCTCATAAATCGACAGCTGTTCCAACCAGCATGGTTTCAAGTTCTTTCAATCTCGTCTTAGCTTGTCCGTCAATGTCTCCAGTTACCATGAGGTTGACGATTCATACAGTCACGCGTTTTTTCAGCTAATTGAATCAATCTCACGTTGCATCGGCGTCCACTGGATGAGCGCGGATTATGAGGGCTAAACCGACCTGCGCACACTTCGTGTAACAGATGCCACAGGCAAAAGACAGAGCGTAATCCAGTAACAGGCAATTACTCTTAGGAATACTAGATGCCAATCATGCAGATTGATTCCAAGAAACGTGATTGCTTTCATGAAACGTATTGCACATGCAGCAAAGCCAAAGACGAGGACGCAAGATTACCGCTGAAACGACGGAATATAATAAATACTATAAATATAATGTAGTTTGAGAAACGCACGCTTACAATTACGAGGCAGTCACTGTCTGGACTGGCCTTTAAACAGGAAAACCGCAGACCTCCAAGATAAACTCTCCAATCTCAGTTCTGCGTAGCCTCTTCTTCCCCTTCCTTGGGGAACGGCTTTCGTCCGTAGATGGAGTATCCGTACCAGTAAGCATGGATGCCCAGGTCCTTGGCGTCCTTTCTGACGCTTGAACAAAACGCAAGGACCTCGTTAGGGTCCCAATCTAGCACGCGGGTGAAGAGGGCGAGGCACAGGCCCTCGATGCCGGGGAGGAGCGAAGCCGACGTCCACACACCCAGCGCCTTCAACTTTTCGTCCTTGGCCCAAGGCGACGCCGGCATGACCTGCTTCGTGACTACCACGTCCACGAAGCCGGCCTCCTCGAGCATCTTGTCAAGCTTGGAGGCAATGGTAATGGGACGGCCAATCTTGTCCGTGGCCTCGACGAGGTATTTTGACCACTGGAACAGCGCCGAGTCTTCCTTGAGGGTGCCGTCATCGCACTCGAGGGGGTACACGTTATCGTGGATCTCAAAGTAGCCGCCGGGTTCGAGGTTTTTGAACGCCTGTCTAATGACTTTTGCCCAATCCTGGAAGCTGCCAGCCATATTGCGCGCAAAAATAAAGTCGAACGGGGTCGTCCACGTCCACTCCTTCTCCAGATCATCAACCTCAAAGTAGCAGTTCGGAGGCACGAACTCGGGTTGAATTGGACTGAGGTCTACGCCTAGAACTTCTGCACCTTGGAAGGCGTCGGCGTATAGGATGGACCACACGCCCGTTCCCGTGCCGAGGTCGAGAACCCTCTTGGCGCCCTGGTTCTTGGGGCACAGACAAAACTTACCGTCCCAGGCGATGAGCCAGAGATGGTTCGCAATGTCGAGACGCTCTTGTTCAGTCTCATCGTTGGGAACGAGGTAGCTGCCATCGCTGAGGCGGTGGTAACTGCGGCCGTTCTCGACCCGATAGTCGAAGATGCTTGGGGTCACAGACGCCTGCGATTCGTTTGTTGTGGCAGTAAGTCCGCTCTGCAGTGAGGATGCGTCGGTCTCGTTCTCAGTATCGTCGCCTGCGACTGTCACTTGTGCAGGAGGATCTGTGCTTCCCCCCTCGGCTTCAGGAGAGGCGGCTGCCGGGCTCGCCGGTTGAGCTACCGGTTGATTCACCGTTGCGGCGGCCGGCTCTGTAGCGGGCCCCGATGATGGGTGCGGGGGAGGTGCCGGTGTGTCGGCCATTACAGATGGGTTTCCTGCCGTGAGGTAGCTCGAGTCGTGGAAAGTTTATTTAGTCGTTGCGCTAGAAAGAGCCGTGACTCGTGGGAACAGAGTGGGAAGTTGATGTAGCCAGGCAAATCCCCCCAAGTTCCCCCCTCTCTCTCTCTAATAAGTCCGCCCCCGCTTCCCTCTCGTCCACCGCTAGTTGGTTCTGTTTGTTGGTTTCCGCTCATATCACTAAGAACCCACCACACGAAAATCGGTAGGGGCCCGGGTCCCCGGTCCCCGTTCTAGTCATCTCTTCCGTCCCCCTTACCATTCTTGTACTAGCGCCCATACTCCTTCGGAAACGGAACAACGTCTCCACCGACCAAAAATTCCCCCGGACCCGACACGACCAAGGCCACCGATCGCCTCACATCACCTCACCTTGCTATACAGCATTGAAGCTGTCTCCAGCTCCGCGATCACGACGCACCGAACGCTCGACACCTCAATCGATCCCCGCTCGAACCTCCCGACGAAGCCGTCTACTTTCCCCAACCCCGCCTCGAGCCCAGAACCTCCACACAACCTCCGACCATGGTCGTCCGCATACGCCTTGCCCGCTTCGGGCGCGTCAACCAGCCCTTCTACAACATCGTCGTCACACAAGCAAGGTACGCCTTCAACCTCAAGTCAACATCACCGAGTCACCATCCTCAGGAAATCACATCACCGTCGCCATGAGATGAGCACCATAAACCCCCTCCCCATTGCCAAAGAGCGAAGCTCTCCGCATCGCAAACCCAAACGAACCTCGAACACAAAAAGAGAAACCTCCCCCAAAGCTAACCCTTGACTCTTCTTCACCAACAACAGAACAGCCCGCAACAGCAAACCAATCGAAGTAATCGGCACCTACGACCCCGTCCCCCGCCAAGACCCCTACGACGCGACCACCAAGCCGCACAAGGACATCCGCCTCGACTCCCTCCGCGCCCGTTACTGGGTCGGCGTCGGCGCCCAGCCCACCGACACCGTCTGGCGCTTACTCTCCATGGTCGGCATCCTCCAGCCCAAATTCAGACCAAACGGCACCGCCAACACGGCGACGGCGGCGAAGTCGCTGAGGACACCTGCCTCTCCGGCCAAGGCGGCGGCACCGGCGGAATCATCATAGGCATCGGCAGCGACGATTTGTAGGAAAAGTTTTGCTCAGACGGATGGGACGAGAATAGGGTAGCCAGCCCATATCGGCTGGGACTGTGTCGTGTATCAAAAGCATCAAAAACCGTCGCGCGAATCGCAGGGGTCGCACTTGGCTCTTTCACGCATGAGATTCGTGGCTGCGCAGAGCGGAAGGGGCAGATGGTGGGATTGTACTATTAAGGCGAAAAGAGACGGCAACGGGCAGGCCAGAACCGTGTCCAGGATGCGGCTCGGCTCACCCACGGGCATTGACGAGGGACCGTGAGGTGGTGAAGCCAGATGCATCCAGCACCACGTCACATCACAAGAGTTGTACAATAAAACGACTGTAAAAAAAACCAAAATGTCACTCCCGATTGAAGCTATGTTTGAAGGTTATCAAAAGGCCGCTATGACTATGAGCCGATGGGCCGAGTCTGTCCTAGAAACTGTTTCTAGACTGAACAATGAGAAAAAAGAAAAGAAGACCAATGCAGGACGTAACCAACGCCCCTGACATGCAGCCACCACGCTGGTAAGGGGTACACGAAGAAAACAAGAAAGCCCCTTAGGAATCAGAAGAGAAGCAGACCATCCAACTCCAAAAATGCGCGACGCTACCCGTGGGACTTTTTATGACGTCGCCGTATGTCTATCCCGGGCGGCCGTATAGTAAATATATCTGCATCGTCGTCTCAATGAAATAATTCTTCCTCTAAACTGCATCTTCATCAAAGATGAAAGTAGCCGCAATTAGTGAGATGCGTGGAACACAATGTTCATAAAGAGGCAGACCACCATGACACATACGCCATAGATGGCGAGGGCGAGGGCCATTTTGCGGAGGGCGTCTTGCTCAATGTGCTCGAGGTCCCAACGCCACTTGCGCTTCCATTGGCGAGGATCCGTCACATGGCTGGCAATGCTCCCAAGACTGGCGATACTAGTTGTCATAGGATCGGCATCCTCTTCGTCATTGGGAGCATCGGCGTCATCGTCCTCCTTGTGAAGACGTTGCTGATGGATGCTATCGGGGTCGCTAATCTTGTAGTAAAACAGGCCTGGAAGGATGAAGCTGATGCTGGTTGAGCCGGTGCTTCCAACGTAGGCCAAAACTCTCTCGAGACTGTGTACTGAGAGAGCGGTGACATAGGAAAGAATGAGAATGACTGAGGTTAAGATCGCAAATCGAGTCTCGCCCATGGAAGAGCTGGAGCCGTGGTCGGAGCGTACAGAAGCCGACGAGGGCAGCAGCGGACGTCCGCCCGGAGAGGTAGACCGGCCGTTTGCGTTCGAAGCACGGTTTGGTCGCCACTTTAGGATAGCATCGACGGAGGCGCGGCAAGGGTGAACCTGAAGAGGAACCGAGAACGTGACCAGGACGACTATGGCAAGCTGTCCGATATAGGAAGCGGCGGTTGCAGAATCTGAAGAAAGTTAGCAGGGTCTGAGGGTATCATTCTCCCAGGATCACTTACACATCATGACAATATTGCCCTTGACAGCGTTGCCAAATGTGAGGTAACCAGTGATAGCTACAACAATGTAAATCGAGGCGGCCGTGCCGATGCTAGTGCCAACAACCCCTATGACGCTGCCAGGAGAATTGTCCTTTATCTCATTCAAGATGGCAAACATCTGTCCACGGAATCAGCATAAAGCCCCGACAACCAATCAAAGTCAACTTACGTTTTGATGGCATGTGTAGGCAAAGACAACAACCGGCAATGTGCTGAGGAATGCGACAGCGCTTTCGGGCTCAACAACTCGAATCTCGCTCATGTCCTTGAGCCGGTCCGTTGAGAAGTGATAGATGACCAAAATGACGAGGTAGCCGATGGAGACCAGAGCAACAATACTGGTATACTTGAGCGAGTCGAGCTTCTTGAGGAAGCTGAGAGGAATAATGACCAGCATGAAAGCCGTAATCCAAAAGTTCCTCTCGCCGAGGTAAGGGTTCTGCGCCACGGCACTCGCGAACAAGCCGATGAAGACCTTTGGCATCAAGTCGCCAATGATGATCATGTAGGAGACACCCACTCCAAAGCACTTTATCGCAATGGCAGTGTCGAAAATGATGGCGGCGTTTGGGTACGTAATCTTGGAAATAGCGAAGAAGGACGATGTCCCTCGATCAAGGTAGCGGGCGCAACGAGACTGAAGATACAGGCCAAAGGCGGCCGTAAGTCCAGACCACACGATCATCAACACACCGAGCATACAGCCCATGTGCGACACCACTGATGGCATTGCCAACGTTCCCGCGCCAACGACTGTAGTCAAGATTCGTCAGCTCTTCTTCTTGCCCCGCACTCGTGTGCCATCTCGTGGGAATACGCAACAGCACGTACTAGTATTGAGCAGATTGATCACACTACTCAGCATCGAGGCCTGGCCTCCCCCCTCCTTAGTGTTTCTTCGGCGTTGTCTGCAGAATGGTATCCCATACGTCAGCAAAGTTCTCTTCCATCTGGGTGATCTGGCTGTATGCGCCATCTGCTTCTGCGGGGAGGACCGGGAATTCGGCATACCGTGACATTTCGCCGGAGCTTCCAGACGCAATTGAATTTGCGTTTCCATCAGTAATGCTAGAGTAATTCGTCATAGTATTGCTCGCCCGTTTCGTGATTATCGATCGCCGTCGGTGTCGTCGTTTTGATCAGTCGGTCGTCGGTCGTTGTTCGTTGTTCGCTGTCGTCGCCAGATTACGTCGCAAAGCTCTCTCTCGTTCGAGTGGTTGGTAATAGTAGTCGCAATCGCAATCGCAAAAGCGGAGGTCAGATAAGAATAACCAAAAAATAAAAATAAAAAGAGTCCGTAAGAAGTTGCCGGATTGGGGAAGTAGAACGAAGTGTCCACAACTGCGACCCAAAGTCACAGAACACAGTCACAAGTCGTGAGTTATGATAGATATGGAGCTGGTTTGTTGATGGTTTGGCGAGCAAAAGCTGAAAGCGTACGAGTAACAAGAGAGGTCGAAAGAAAGCAGAGCAGCTGTTCGTCGTTTATCGGAAGAGGAGAAAAGAAAAGAAAGGCGGCGTTTCTCGGCTTCGCGGCGTTTGGAATGCGACTGCGGCTTGCGGTTACGGCTTTGCGGCTTGCGGCTGCAGGAGGTAGGTAGGTGGTCGGTCGTCACTCGTCAGTGGTGTTCGAGTCGTTGCACCCACCCACACACTCTTCTCAGCAGTCGAGGCGGAGAAGGCGTAGAGAAGGCGTGACGTTGCGACGAATGGCCGGCGGAGAGTTTGCGCAGGGCAGCTGTGACGTGCTTTTGGAGGAATCTCTCGAAATCAATCGAGAAAAAGGTGGTTGCCCCTGCTGGGACAAACCTCGCAGGCTTCGGTTCGGGGTGTAGCGACCGAGTAATTCAAGGTTTCTGGTTCTGCGGCGGGCTGTCGCTGGCTGAATGGGGCCGCCGGGCTGGGAAGGCAGCACTGGGACGGACGGTGGACGGGGTGGCCAATACCGGCCAGCAAGCACCTTTCGCCTGTCTGTCGATCTCTGAATGCCCTTCTTGGGGGGCGGCGACAGAACGAGTCACGACGGCACGTCCAAGGTGTCGAAGGTCGTCTCGGTCGCAAAGTCGCAGGACGAACGGATAGATCACACGACAATGTGCGATGCGATGGTCTTTTTGCTTCCCCCGGGACGTGGGTAAGGTGTATACGTGTACAAATGGGAAAAAGGACGTATGTATCCGTAGAACACTTCAGCCCCCCGCAGGTACAAAGTACACGGTGGACGGGAGAGAGAGACAGAAGGAGCAAGAGGAGGGACGAGGGTTCCCGCTCAATAACCGAGAAGTTTAAAGGTATTAATTATGGACAGGCGGCGGGCAGCTCCCAGAGTAAGGTGGTATTAGGATGACAGGACCTGGTCGGGGGACTCGGGGCGGGTAAAATGAGCAGGCACAGGGTGTCGTGAGGGTGGTGGTACCTTGCGTCTTGCGTGGTGGTGGACTGCCAATGTTGGTGGTGGTAGTGGTGGGTATTGGAGCAAGTGGAAGTTTGTCAGGGAAGTAAATGACGAACTGACGAGAGTGTTTGTTACCGCCGAGCAAAAGCTGTCCAATGCCATTGATTCTTGTTACACAGCATTACCTCTGGGGAGCTCTCAGGTAAGAAAACCGGAGACCCGCGACTGGAACTTGACGGGGAAAGCATTTGGCAGTTTAGCAATTCTTACGTATTGCCCAGACCGCAATGGACCCTCGGTATCCGTTCCGACCTACGTAGTGTGTAAGGTACATACGTGCCTCATACCTGCGGAGACTTCCATGGCCACGGCCACGAGGCATTGGCACGTTCCCAAATGTCCGTCAGCGGCCAACACCGGCCCGCGCAGGACAAGGCGAGACAGCATGGCACCAAGCAACAGAATGCCAGCAGGTCCTTACCTTAGCGTTCACCACAACCCGCTCACCCGCTCTACCTATGACACTTGCCTCACTCTGTGCTTGGCGCAGGGGTCGGCGTGGAGTTGCACCTGAAAGTTTGGGGCACGAGACTCAGACGACCCTCACATGCCGTTTGATGTCGTTGGTTTTGATGTGCCTCAACTTACCTAATGCCTGTTAGAGAAGTTGCTTTTGCTTCTCCCTTTCATCGTCTTCCCCGGAACCGCCCCAAATATAGTTGATTAGGATCCCGAAGATATGTGAAGAATAATGACTTTGTAATTAGAGAGACATTGTGGGAAATGAGTCTCAATGCGCCCGAGACCAATTCATTCCATTGGCTGATTCAGCCAGAAAACCTCTTATCTAATCGCATGTCATGGATGGTGTGGTCCGGTGGGTCGGTCACAAGCCACACTTTCCCGGGCAGCTGGCCACACTGATTCTCAACTTCGAGATCCTAAGAGGAGAGCTTCAGCCACTCAACACCGTCCCTTGCTTCCTCACCTCCCAGCCTTACCACGCTAAATCGCAACCCGCGACGATCAACTCTCGGGGAATTGCTTGCTTGTTTCGACCTACCTCCCAACTACGACATCTCCCTCACCGGCCATCACCAGCAACGTCTTGCGCTAGACACGTCAAGCCTGACCCACGCGCGACGGCACACTAGCAGCGCAGTGGAATTCATCTCCTTGCTCCAAACGACACTCACTCAAACACGCGACGACGCAAGGCACGATATCCCCCACGACCATGGACACTTCCCTCGACAAGACGACGCTCTCAACAATGTCCCTCCTCGAATCGCGTCTACTACGCATCGAGCACCTCCTATACGGCCCAACGGCACCCTCTCACTCGTCCCAGACAGAATCAGCAGTCGATACCCTAGAAGATCTCGAGCGCCGCTTCAACCACCTCCTCTCCCGCATACGCGTATATGGTGAATTGATGAAGATCTGTACGTTCCTCCATCAACTCTTACGCTCTGCCAAATTCCGAACCTCATGAGCACAACTGACCCCAAAACCCCTTGCCAGACAACTCCCAACCAACCCTCTTCCAACCCCCGCCGCCCTCCGAGCCGCCAATCCACCTCGCCCCAGAAGCAATCCAAGCCACCGTCCTCGCCTCCGCTGCCGCCTTCCCGGCAACAGCCTCGTCTCTGACCTCCGTCAACGACTGCCCCATCCCCGAATCATCCCAGAGCGCGGCCCTCGCCTCCCTCATGCCCAGACTGCGCGGTATCGAAGCGACCCAGATTGCCCAGGAGGCCGAGATGGCCGAGCTGCGCGCCCGGAGTGAGGATGTCCTCCAGGCATGGTACCGGCAGGGCGTCTTGGGCGTCTCCGACTTCGTCGCCGATGTCGAAGGCCGGGTGGAGATGGCTGAGCGCCGGGTGCGGAGAGCCGAACGAGAGAAGGAGGCCGCTGCAGCCCTTTGATATCTCCCGTCCGGGGATGTCACATCATGTTAACCCTTAACCATGGCGTAAAGACTACCAGCATACACGACGAATGCCGGTGGGCTTGCACCACAGGGCCCTGCATATACTTAGAACGCTGGTTATACCCCCAGGGCCGCTCAGTACGAACAGTCTACCTAGCCAGATCCGAGATCAGGCCATCTGCCGGTACGCATGAAACGGAAGAGTCACCTTGGGTGGGAGCTTGCCCGACGGCCATCACAGCAGCCCCATCCGGGCTAGCAACAGAAAGCTTCCCAGCAACCACCACCAATATCATCACATGAGAATCCGACAAGTCGGTTACAGCACTCTCTCGGCGGATAGATTTTTCTCATCCCAAAAACTCTGGGTCAAAGATAGGAAGCTTTGTTCATAAAGGAGTTTCGCAACAGGATGCTCCTGGCCCGACCTGCAGAAGACGTCGCCCCAAGCCGTGTGCTCGGATGACCCCGAAAAGCTTGGTCTCGGCCGCCCGAACCGCAACGAAGACACAGAAAGCTGCACTCACGAATGCAACATGATGGGGCCAAAGCCCCGATTGCATGGGCTCAATGGATGGGTCGGCTCAGGGGAGAGCAGTATGCAGAATCACACACAAAGTGCTGGCCTCGCAGTGGCGGGATCTCCCTTCTCCGCGTTTCAGAAACAGGTTTGTCGGACTTTGTCCCAAGACTGATCAGTTGTGGCAAGACACACTGAACTCTGGCGAGTTGCTGGGAGGCTGAAATAAACTCGGGAGTAACTTCAGCAAACGCTCGGGCGATGACTTGTCGGTTTGCTGGACCTGCTCTCTCCCGAGTCGTGTAGATATGAACAGTGGCAAATTGGCGATAATACTAGAAGACTGAATGTAAAGTTTCCATAATCATGTCACGACACTGATCTGCCCATATCCAACCGACCTAAGCATATCGGTGGAGGGGCCGCTCGAGCGCTGAGGTGACACTGGATGCTAGAATCGGAAGAAGCCTGATCTACCAGACCAGAAAAGCTTGGCTTTTCGGGTGCTGTCCAATGCAGCTCTCAGGGGGCCTTGTCCGTGAACACTGGGCACGGATGGCGAACTACAGGTGATGGCACCAAGCGGCTGACAACCCCTCACGATAGTGCCCAAGTAGCCAGTGTGTCAGCACAGCTTCTAGTCCGTCCGAGGTGGATCAGTGGCCATTTGAGCTCGAAACCTTCTCCATGAGGACTCCTGGCTGATAGCAGTACAAAAAGCCAGGACGCAGTAGATCGGGTATGGACACGTTGGCAGTCTGTCGTTGAGAATTGGCCAATAATGAAAATGGCAAGACTCGATACCCCGCGTCAGCCAAACTACCGGGTCACCAGATGCTCATTTCCCTGTTTTGCGACTGCTCAAGCTGACGTGTCAAGCCACACGCAGGAGGACGAAAGCCACTGAGGCGTCGACATATTCAAGGGAACATCCTTGGAACCCGTCTGGTTAAAAGCGAAGTAGCTCAATCGTGCCGCTGGCCGTATTGGCTGAATACTCGGACGCGGTTGTTCAAACTTCATGAGATGCGCAGGGGTTGTTCTCAGGGATGCTGGCTGGAGGAGGGGGCTGTGGTAGAAATTGTTAAGACGCACAGTGTGCGACAGGTGGTTTGGGAACCGGTGGGATTGCAACAGATGATTTGCTGCCGCAAGCTCTGTCAATGATTAAAACGTTGCGGAGTTCGAAACCGTCGATCCCGTCTTTGGCACTCTATCAAGCAGAGGAGAGAATCATGCGTATCGTCTTAGTCTTTGATCGAACGCTCTTCACGCCGCCCGCTCGCATGGTAGACGTCGAGATATCATTTCGGTCCAGACTTGGCGTAGTGCCAACACGGAAATGGGGGAAATGGCGAATCCCAGTTCGGAAATAGGGCGGATCCTAGGTGATTTGAATCAAGAACAGTCTCGGGATCTTCGGGTGCATGAACACCAGCAAAGCTCGAACGGTGCCCACCATGGGCCCGCGTCAATGAACGACTGGTGATCAGAGATGGAGGAAAAGAGATTTTCTGCACGTGCTACATCTTGCCGGTTCAACAAGAGGTCCGCCGACTCATCTAAAGTCTCTCTGGCCTTGAGAGCAGGCCCGTCCGTTTCTCTCCGTGTCTAATATTTCGCATATTGGACAGACGCAGAAGGCTGGGCCTCTCGCAGACGATGGCATGTATAGATCTTGTATGAACGGTTTCGTAATACGAACGAAGGATCGAATGCGTCAATGGCAGAAGATTGCGATGGAACGGTTTCGTAATACGAACGAAGGATCGAATGCGTCAATGGCAGAAGATGGGTTGCGATGGGAACCAAGATGGTTGCTGTGCCTGAGTAGATAGTCACAAAAGGACTTGTCGACCGCCCCGACGATATGTAATTCGTTGGTTGGCGGTATTTCAAATTCGCAATCGTGAGCAAGATCGACTCGGCTCAAGACCGGTGCTAGGCCTCGTTATTTCTAGTTGGACGGGTTCTTAGGGTCGGGTGGAAGGTTGATTGTACATGAGCTCTGTTCGACAGGCTGCTGTTGCTCAGCCAAAAATCGTTCCGGCCGTTTGAACGGTAGTTGATCATCAGGATCTTCGGAGTTCCCCCAGAAACGCAACGCATTATGACAAAAGAGGGATGTTGGGACGAAAGGAGAGAGTGCGAGTCAAGAAGATGTCAGTGACGTGCGACAGGCTGTGCGGTTTGCGTAGCAGCAACGGCTATCCTAGACCGAAAGCTTGCGCGGTTCCTCCATAGTGCCACAAGCTTGTGACCATTAGCTGGATCGTGAGACTATGTCGAAAATTCTGATGCGTCTTCCGGGAGCGATCTGTCATAGTAGAGTCGGAGTGGAGAAGGCGTGCTCACGAGGCGACGAAGAAGACTGTTGTCACTAGACGAAGCCACGTTCCGAGATCTAGACATATCGGGGTTCGGTCGCGATGCTAGGCATTTGCGAGACAGCTTTGTGGCGGTGGCTTCTGTTTGGTTTCTGTGGTTTCAAAACTTGAAAGACGCCAACGGATGTCTTTCGTACGAATGGTTCGACTGTCGAACAAAATTTTGGACGATGGCTCAATGGGATAGGCGCCTTTCAGTATTACTCCACAAACTCCATACAGAGATGCAGATGTTTGGCAGCTGTCGGGTTCAGAAATTCGAGAGTCAAGCGCCGGCGAGTACGAGGTGACAGGCACCCGTGTTCCTGCATGTCAAGACAGTCTAGTCTGACCCAGTCGATCACGGCGGCTCTGACCGCGGCACGGTATCATCAGGTTCCATCCGGACAGCTGTCAGGAGCCGTGCTGTGAAGTTCGTTCCCGTAGCGCGCTGCTGCGCGTGTGCCTCGGAGGAGAGCCGGACCATCGGTCGGTGGCATGATGGCATCTATCCCGGAGAAGTCAAGCGAAAGACATGCGAGGGTCCAAGAGCTGGGTATCGAAGTGTCTGAGATCGGGAGACTCGGCTCTCTAGTATTGGCCATCGGTAGCATTACTCCGTACTCAAGTAACTCCTCCTACCTACCAAATCGAGTGTGCGCATGCTGATCTCTGTCCGCGCTTGCAATATGGATGCACCACCACACTGGTCAGTGGTCGTGATGAAACGGCGAAAGACTGGCGGGTAGTGAAGCCATGGTGTGGTGCCCCTGCGTCAGAGACGACAGAAGATTGACACTGTCGTGGCGATGGAAGATGTCGAGACAACAGTGGCATTCTCCACGATTGATAGGCATTACCAAAAGTGATTTCTGTTTGATATATCCGGAGCAAGCGCGCAAGACTTGACGAGATCTTCGCTCCTCCTGTCTGCGAATAGATAGGCTCAGGTAAGGCAAGCAGTGTCAGGGCTGAGCTGTACCAAATTGGAGGGAACTGGTTAATTGAGGTACGTATCTCGCACCCGGATGGAGTGGGGCATCCGTCAGGGGTAAGCGGTATTCATAGCCAATGATGTTCCGCATTTCGCCAGCTCATCCAATGCTGTTGGTGGGATGGCTTGCAGGAACCCCGAAAGGCCACTTGGAAAGTCAAAAAAATCTCAAACCCGCTAGCCGCGACTTCCAGACAAGGGGGGGTGAGGCAGAGACAGACACGGACGACAGACAGCAGAGGAGACCTAAGGATGGACGAGCAGGGACCAATGGTTTCTAGGGAATTGATAGAGGGAACCGGGGAGTTGGCGGGAGATCCCCTCAAGATGAGCACGGTGGGCAGGTACCGGTCTATCAGACGGCTCTTTTGGGACATGTACTCTCCACGATGATCGAATGGGCCAGGCCGTCAAAAAGGGCTGGACTCGTTCCTTCTGTTGAACCTGGGAAAGCACAGGTAATGGAGTGCCTACCTACCTTACTACAAATACCTACCTAGGTAGGTGCGTGACTACGTACCTGCGGTATCTTACCTCGCCCCGTACCGAATGGAAGGGACGCGTCCAGTCGTGCGCACAGTTTCAATACGAAGTCTCGACACAGTGCGGTGCAACAGACAGCGGGAAGCAGTCATCCAGGGCTGTCTTCCTTGCCGCCATTGTCTTCCATCTCTTGGGATTAACAAACGAATACTCCGCAGTACCATATGTTCAGTTCGGCTGGCTCAGATTCTCCTTCCAGGGTGTACCTAATTCCTTACTTTTGTGTGCGAATCTGTCTGCGCCTGCATCATGTCGCCTGCAATATAGCGCTGCCCGATTGATTTCATTGGCAACGGGCAGTTCTCGAGCAGGTGCATATTGGCTGCACTGGCCATCAATTACTTAATGGGGGCCTATAATCTACTTCCATTGCCTTCCGCATGCCCCCTTTGAATTGGATTTCAGCAGTGCAGTGACGAATCGCTTGGTATTCGTCCGGCATGCCGTGACTTCCTGTTCTTGACTCCTTCCACGTCTCCTCTCTCCTTCCCTCTCGCAGCAAGAGGTATCCGTAGGTACATGGGTACGTCCCCCTCGTCTCGCTTACCTAGGTAGGTACCTTACTACCCACCCCCACCTAAGGTACCGCCTGCCCGCGCAGTGTGCCTGAGTTCCGGGTCTGGGTCCTCCTCCTCCTCCTCCTTCCTCTCCACCTGCCACCGGGTCCCTGAGGTTGGTCCACGACCACGTTTTGCGTATCATTGACTCTGGATCCACCGTCCAGTACCCTCCCTCCTCCCTCGTCGAGTCGTCCTCCTACCAGTTGCCCTCTTTGCGGATACGGATACTTCCACTCAAAGTTGGTAGACCAGGAAGTCGCAGGCACAGCCAGCACAGCCTGAGAACCTGCAGCTACAACCCTTGCATCTTATCTGCGCTTGCTTCAGTCAGGTTCCTGGTTGTCTGTCAGAGTGCCCAGTCTTCCACTCTTACGCCGCAGCCTGCCCTGTGTGCCTGTGTCCTCTTTTATTTCCATTCTTCCCACCCCACCGTCCATTCCTCTCATCCCTTTCAACCCTTCTCTGCGACAAAAAAAAACGGTTACCCCCGTTGCTGCCCGCTGTCGACCACCTGAGTGAGCCAGAGAGTCAAGGAACCGGGAATTGGCCATTCGCCCAGTCAAAGGAATTGGACATCTATCAGCAGCGTGAAAGAGGGTCGGCCGAAGAATAAACAACAAATACAATCTCCGCCGCCGCCGTAGTAGCAGAAGCGCACAAGACACGAGCCGCAGCACCAAACCAAACGAGTACCTAACGAGCCCACATCTTACGCCGGGGCGCAACGGCACCCGACAGGCACCGCAGAAGAAAATAGGGGCGCGGATTTGCACATCAACACGCGATCCGGGGGTGCCACGAGCAAGTCAGCTCAGTCTAGCCCTTCTCTCTCAACTCAAGCCTTTACAAGCCTGAGAAACACATAGAGAGAGGTGTACGGATTCTCTCTGTATCCGTACCAACAACAGGCACACCACCACCTTCACCCGTTGCGACCGAGAACTCTGTGCTAAGGAAAGACGCCAAACAAGCACCAAAATCGACGCCACAAGACTCGCGCCTCCTTCTCTTCTCACGGCACCACTGTGAGTTGGGTCTGGCTGGTCTTGGTCTGCTTGGTCCGGTGGCATTTTTCTGCCTCGCTATCCACGCCGCCTACTTCCTCTTCGGGATCTTGCTAGTCGTTGCCCTTCATTTCACGCGGTCAACCGCCAACAACGCCTACCCCTTCTCTCCTCTACCGCCAGCCTTGGCTCAAGCCTGCTGTTCCTACAACTGTCGTCCGTCCCCCGACGCAGCCCGCCTCCAGTCTCTCCTTCGACTTTCGACTCGACATCGCTTTCGTCTTCCACTCTTGTATTCTCTAATCCTATACATCCTTTTCTTCCGATTCCTCCTCGCTCCTTCGACTCTGGACCTTCGGTTCTCCCTTTCTTCCCTCAATCGACAGCAATCCATCGCCGTCTTCGATTCGCTTCATCGCTTCATTGCTCCTATCTTGCATCTCACGGATTCCGACTACCATTCTCTTTTTCTTCTTTAGAAAAGAGGCTGCCTTGCTGGACAACCCTCTGAAACGATCGACTCGATTTCGCCATCTCAATTATCAACCGCCGCAACGTTCATTCGAGCCTTCGTTCGCTGCCTACCAGCTCATCCCAGCTCAGTACAGCGCACACGCTACGTCGCGCACTGAGCAGCACACAGCGCACCCGTCACAACAACCTCTCCAGCGCCCTTTTTCTATTTTGGCCGACAGCCCAACCACCAGTCACTCCTTTCCAACCTAGTCTTCCGAGGTCTTGCATTCCAGCCACGACAACCCCCTCGCGGCATTCGAATTACGTACCCACCGTTGGATTGGCACCGCTCCGCCCATTTGCCGAACACTTCGCTTCGATTACTCGGTTGTCGACGTCTTCTCGTCGGTCGACTCACATTCGCAACCGTGACATTTTTCGAGGCTTCCTCTCGAAATCTGCTCCGAAGCAATTAACTCTTCGTCCATCGAACTCGCACATCATTCTCTATGCCATCCTACGGCTCTCTTCATTCACCATCATTGCGCAAAATGGAACAATCAAGGGTTCAGTACGGGAGGAAGGGCATTAATTTGGGGAACATCATTGGAGATCCCTTCGCCCTGGCTACAGTCTCCATCTCCATGGTACGTCGATATCCAAAGACGCCTCGAGAATCACTGACTCTTCTCGATTGGTTGGTCTTCTATTCATGTCTGTACTAACAGTCTCCTTAGCTAGCATGGATAATTGCTTTCATTAGCTCCATCATCGCGACAACACAAGTCACAAATAACTCCGGCTCATTCCCGCCCTTCGCTTGGTGGACCGTCGTCTACATGTTCTTCCTTATTGCAGGAGTATTCGTCGTTGTGGCTTCAGACACTGCGCAAACTTATCATGTCGCCCTTACGGGATACCTCGGTGCCGCTCTGTCTCTGAACTCACTGACCATTCACTCCCTCATCTACTCCTCCAACGGTGCTCGCCAGGCTGCCGGCGCTGGCTTCATTCTCATGGCCATGGTTACCGTAAGTTCTCCGCCACGGAGGTGAGGACCAAATGCTGACCTTGTCTCTGTAGATTGTCTGGATCTTCTACTTCGGCTCCGCCCCGTCAGCGAAGCCGCGCGCTTACCTCGATTCCTTCGCGCTCCAGAAGGAGTCTGGAAACCGACAGATGATGTATGGCGGTGGCCGGCCCGAAACCTCAACATCGGTCCAGCCTCCCCAGATGTACACTTCGGCGCAGCTCAATGGCTTCGAGAACCCATCCCCCGTTCAGGGCATTCCCACTACACAAACCCGCAACTCCGGAGTGGCCCCGACATTCAACGCGGCGCCGCCTGCAGCGAAGCCTCCTGGTCTTGACCAAGAGGTGGTGCCCCCCACCGAATATCCCTACCGCGCGAAGGCCATCTATAGCTACGAGGCCAACCCCGACGACGCGAACGAGATCTCCTTCTCAAAGCACGAGATTCTAGAGGTTAGCGACGTGAGTGGAAGGTGGTGGCAGGCACGCAAGGAGACGGGCGAGACGGGTATCGCGCCAAGCAACTACCTGATCCTGTTATAATGAGCTCATGATTTTCATTTCGCCGTTGGAGATGGGAGCAAAAAAATGACCATATGGGACATGGAATGGTTTCGCGCTCAAATGCTTGTTGGAGTACATTAAGGTCTCTTGTCCGGGATAAAACCATTGCCGCCTCTTTTGAGCCACAGGCGGCACACGTATATCCGCCTAAACGGCTTCGCTTTTTTCTTCTTCGACCTGTTGTTTCTACTTCTATCCGCCCACCATTGCGTGCAGGCTTTCTCCCTATCACTGCTAGTGTATGTTGCCATTGTCGCTCGAGCAGAGGGATTGTGTGTTTTCTTTTTGAGTCTTCTGGGGCGGGTTTCACGAGCAACGGGTCGGTCATTCGGATAGCTATGGTAGCCCGCAGGTGGAATACCCATGCATATTGGTGTTCCCTTGCTGTTTTACAAATGGCATTTGCATACATTCATATTCCGTCTTCATATTCTCGACAGTGATAATGTGTCATCTTTGAGTGGGATTTATGAGCCCGACAAGTAAACAGCTTATCCAAGCTCGTCATGAGGCGGAGGTAGTGGAGAAGTGGGCATTTCCACGTTGATGTTGTGAATTCTCTTCGTATACGTTACATCATTGACGATCTGGATATTGTGCATAAAGTGAAAGACTTCTTCTTTATCCGTCGTTTGGGTATCATAACACTCTCCCTCCGCCCTCCCCTTAGCCACTTTAGCTGGTAAACCATGAAGACACTCGCAGCCAAGTGACACGTCCAAGCCGCCAGCCCAGGGCGTCATCTTGCAGCCTCAACCTCAACGCTCAAAACACGCCTCTCTCTCTCTCTCTCTCTCTGTCTCTGTCTCTCTTTCAAGCCTTATCAAGCCTTATCCAGCCTCTTCCTCAACTCCCTCTCCTTCGTCAAGACCTCCAGCTCAAGCCTCTCAACACTATACTCCAACCCCTCCCTCCTCTGCCTCACAGCCCTAGCCCGCAAAGCACTCTCTCCATTCAACCCCCTCTTCCCACCACTTCCGCTAGCACCAACAGCCCCTCCTCGTCCCTTTGTCTTCTTGCCCCCGTACCCATCCTCCTCAGACGGCGCAGCCAACCGGCCCTGCAAGAGCTCGCACCTAGCCTGCAGAGTCTCGATGCGCCGTTCGCGGCGCGCGATTTGCGCGTCGGCGCGATCGAGCAGTTTTGCGATTTGCGGGCCGATTTCGTCGCGCAGCGAGGCCTCGGCGGCGGCGAGGGTGGGTTGGGGGATGAGTTCGAAGTGCCGCGTGGGACGGAGGACGGAGGCGAGGCGGGGAAGGTCAGAAACGCCTGTGTCGAGGGTCGATACGGAGTTTTGGAGGAAGTTAAGGGAGGTGCGGAGGGAGGCTACGCAGTCTGCGTATGTTGCTGCGTTTTGGGACATTGTATTGTGGTTTGCGGTTGTGGTTCTCTCGGTGGGGTGTGGTTTTGTTTACCCCCCGTTTTTGGTTGGTGAGTTGTATTGTGGTGCGCTAGACTTCTCTGGTGATGGCGATGTTTTGAGGTGGTGTCAAGGGTGTTTCGCTTCCTCGCTCCGACAAATACGAAGGTTGGGAGAGAGAGATCGTGTGGCGACGGGGTTGGTTGTGGTGTTGATGGTCGAATTGGGCTTGTTTTTGGAGGTTTAGCTTGGAGGGGATGGTTGACAGTAGAGACGGACATCGATTGTTTACAGCCCCGCTAAGGAACTGGTGGCTACGTACCGACTAGAAAATGGTGCACGGGCCATATATCCCCGGTTCGGTGAGGCTCGGTGTGAGGGCACTATCTACAGCTCTTGGCACCTGGCTGTAGCCGAAGAGTGGTGATTACATCACTTTGAGTCCTGAAAACAAGACTCTAAGGTTTTCAGATAAATCCAATAGCCTGTAATATCGATACTAACTGACAGCCTATGACACGTCGATGGGCCATCATAACCAAGGTAAAGCGTGACGTCCATACGGGTGGGTGATCGTGAAAGGAGCATAAAATATTACGCGCATATAGCTACTTCTTCACTTTCTACAACCATATATATATATACTTCGCCATCTAATTTCTGCTAGTAGAGCCTTCTGGTGTCAGTCACTACTTACATCGGCAGTTATTAAAAAGATCCAAAAATTCAAGGTAGACACCATCAAAAGAGTTCACCCCCCCGGTGCTGAACTGGGGGCTACATCTCTGGTGCACATGCCGGGACTCGAACCTGAAATCCTGGCTTAGGCTAAGCTAGTTGAACAGGCTCGCCCGTAACCATCCCGCCAAACGGCAGTTTGACCTGACCTCACAGGCCTGTGAGGCGCCTGCTGCCGTTGGTGACAGGAATAGAATTGAAGGGGGGTATAAGGGAAGGCTCGCATGGGTATGCACTGGTGTATTCAACTCATTTCGCCGCGTGGGACATCTACCTTGAGGGCCAAGGCATCTATGGACAGCGACCTGAAGCCACTGGGAAAAATCTTTACCAGGCGAATGGTAATACGATGTTCATCGCAACGACAGCAAGGCCTGTTCTTTACTTCTACCGTATTGGTACATCTCCTCTTCAATCTTCCGCAATCTCCAATACTAGATAGAGAGTACTCCAGCCCCTTATACTTTGCGCAACATCTTCAACGTGACTAATAATGAACACATCTTCGAGGATCACTGAATGTACCTTGAGGCTCATCTTCTGGAACAATATGCTGGAATATTGAGCAGCACCTAGTCAGTTGAAAGCATCGAAAAGACGACATGAGCCTTACAAGCGTCCCTTTTACCGACCTTATTTACACCCATCGGAGGAATCGTGGGCGAGGCCCACATGCACTTTCTCATCTTTCAACATACACATACGCAGTCTGGTATCAGACATGTCGTTTAGCCTCGTAGCAGGTCTTTCTCACAGCGTTCAGAAGCATCACAGAGCCTGATTACCTCTATGACTGGTTTGGGAGAGTGAAGTCGTCTGTGTAGCTGAAAGGCTGCCATGCTTGTGCATACCCTACCACCATGAGTGTGCAGTTTATGAGCTCATTTTGCAGTAAAAGAGACCACCAATGTAGTTTATTACTCGTCTGTCTTCCAAATACTTTCCAAGCATCTTTGAAATCGCTCTTTAGCCCCTGACAGGATGGGGCCACCAAACGCCAGTGACTTCACGTGTAAACGTTTTCTTATGGCTATGAGTTCTTTGAACAGAGAAATCCTTGTCGAAACTCGTGTGATGTCAAACGAAGGTGACCTTGACTGCCGCTAAACGTGAAGAGGCGTGCACCAAGTAGGCATACAGTCTACTAACATGATGTAAGCAGCCTCCTTCCAGCGACAATCCACGAGTGGCCAGAAATTTTGAGGGAAAGAAATGGTTCGTCCATTTATTGACGCGAGCATGCAGTCAGTGCCAGCTGGCCTTACTCTCATTAGCCCGGCAACATGATGCACAGGTTTCCTCACCGCAGTGGCGTTGTCTTCTGACTACGTGCCAAGCTGGAGGGCCCAAATCCTCAACTGACACGAGCCACGATGTGAAGTGGGCGGCTTGGGAACTCCCGTGTGGCACTTGCAAGCGAAACCGACCAATTCTTTGAGGCTCGATTCAATGGATCCGGTGACTTGACGCCCGTGTGAGCGCACTTTTCGGCCGTGGCTACGATGACTATGGTGCTTTGAGCCTCTCACCTCAACCAAGGTAGATGGGTGACTGCATGCACAAGTCTTGCGGCGTTCAATGATCTTATGGCTTGGATTGCCACGTGAAATGGATGAAAGAGCCGCACGAAGAGGTATCAAATGGTGATGGAATTTCTCTTAAATGCCACCAGCCGAAGCCATATAATCTAGCATCCGTAGATGTCACCTCATTGCTTTTCTCTGAACACACCATACCCTGAAGATCCACTTGTCACACCAGTTACCACAGAACTCGTTGACTCTCACAAGCTCAGGCATCCAAAGGTTCATCATATCAGTCACGCGCGAAAGTCTGTCTTCATACGGCACCCGGCCAGCTCATCTTTTGTCATGTCCCGAGACCACAACCACCCCTCCTTGCACCCTGCAGCAACATCACATGTAAGGATTGCCCTCAATTTCAAGCCAATTTGGCACTGATTCGAGACTAACCGTTCTCAGTCATCTACACCGGCCACAAATGGCATCAAGCCAGAGAGCTCAGGTTCATCAGCCAACAGCACTGCCACTGTAATTGTCGCCGTCGTCGTGGGTCTTCTCCTATTGACGATCATCGTCTGCATCACTATTATGGAATACCGCAAGAAGAATAAGATAGAAGGCTTGAGGGCTAGGACGAAGGAAGACAAAGAGCGGGCATTGGTAGCAAGCGGTTCGAGGGAGTCATTTGGTAGTTTCAAATCCGAGTTGAAAGAACCTGCACATGGGGTAATAGTTTTCTCCCGCATAGCTTCTTAGAGAACATACATATAAGGTAGTAATCAACTCAAGCCAATAAAGATCAATAGTATTCTCTCAGGTATCAATAATGGTCCTGTTCGACTTCTAACCCACGTGCACCCATGCGATACATTGACATCTCCGTCACTCCATGTTCCATTCCGCCCCGGGATGGATTGATCGTTTTCCATTTCCCGGCAATGTATGGCTTGAATCCTTTAGGATTCCGGAAGTTACGCAGCCCAAATCCTCCAGCTAGCCATCTCAATGCAATGTTAAGTCAAGGTTGGTCCGTGTTGCTTGACTGAGTTCGGTCGTAAGTCGACCTAAGTTCCGGACCCACTCGGATCTAACAGCCGTGCAACTACTCCGGTACGGGCCGGCCGCACGGACGCACTGGGCCCCTCGGTCTTGCGCTGTTGCATCCTCAGTCCGTGTAAGTGGTTATAAGACTTCTACTTCACTTCACTCCCATGGTCTCAACATTCGAAGAGACCACAGGCATTCAGGTCACTATCACTTATACCCACACAAATTCAACTTTCGAGAAATCGCCATTCTTCCCGCTTCCCGCTACCTTTCAGCCCATAACCATGGAGTTCAATCTCAGCAAGCCCAACCGCAAGATTCATGCCGGTGTCATATTGACCAAAGGGTAATTATCGAACCAAAATTCCCCGAATCCCCTGCAACATCTGAGCTGAGACATTCACAGCGTCACCGAGATGCTCGACGTTGCACCTTTTGAATTCTTTGCCTGGACCGATAAGACTTCGCGTCAAATGCTTAACCTGCCGCAGGAGATGTGGGAGGACGATATCGAGTTTGACCTCCATTGGATCACCGAGGACGGCAAACCGGCGCAGATGAAGAGCAGGGCTCAGATTCAGCCAACTGTAAGTAACGCAAGGCACCACCATCCCAGTAGAGAGATTCTCCAACACTGATACCTACCGCCCAGGACTCCTTTGAGTCTTGTCCACCCTTGGATATCGCACTCATGGGAGCTCATGACCTAAAGTACAAGACCAGCGAAGCCGAGCTCGCCTTCATCCGCAAGGTCTACGAGCAGTGCAGCGCCTTCTTGACCATCTGTGGCGGTATGTTCCCGCTTCTCGAGGCTGGCCTTCTGGCTGGTAAGACGGCGACTTGCCCTCGTATGATTGTCGGTGCTATGAATAAGAGTGTTCCGGTCGTCGATTGGGTTGAGACTCGTTGGTCACATGACGGGAAGCTGTGGACTTCGAGCTCGCTGCTGAATGGCACCGATATGATGCGGGCTTTTGCTGAGGCTACGTGGGGAGGGAAGACCAATAATGGGTGGGTCGAGGCGGCTCTCGATATTGGGGGGTACCCTTTGAGAGACGTCGACTTTAAGGATTTCAAGGGCCACCATTATGCCGTCGAACAGCTTCCCTTCTAGGATTCTAGGCAGTTGGAGGAGGATTCTGATCGAATGATGGGCCTTGTGAAGGGTATGCTAAGGTGTCAAGTCCGGTGGCATTTGGCTATTGTACAAATTAGTGAAGCAGTAACATTCACACAGATCTGACTTCCATTCCTATTCTCGGTGGCAAACTTGAACCCGATGTACAACGTGACAGCGTGTAGGAGATTCGATTTGTGCGGCTGGGGCACTGTGTGGACTGTGTGGGTCCCTCGGTGACTGCCGAACCGGCGGTGGTTCCTGCGGTCCGGTCGTGTGGTTCGTCACTGACCGGTGTGCTAAACTCCGATGCGGAGTGATGTCAGCCCGTCGCACGTCCCTTCCATCTTCATCCACCTTCCGACTTCCCCAGCACATCTCGAACCATCACCCCAACTTCACGTCAACTCTTTGGAGTCGTCAGAAATCGTCCTGAAGCCTCACACGACAACATCACAAAGTTTGAAGCAGAAGCATCTTGGAAACGTCAACAACATGTCCCTCAGAGTAAGTGGTTAGAAGTAGCATCAGAGAGGGTTTCGCTGACACAAACACACCAACAGACTCTCGGCGCAAAGGCGGCCGCGGCCTTGGACAAGGACCTCATGAGTACTGGTGCCTTCTCAATCGACCAGCTCATGGAGCTTGCCGGATTATCCGTGTCACAAGCAAGTGAGTTCCTGCAACGGCCAATGCTTGTTCGAGCCTTCGGTTGACACCTTGTTGCAGTTTACCGCGTTCACCCTCCCAGTCGGGGTCTAAACATTCTCGTTGCATGCGGCCCCGGTAACAACGGTGAGCAGCCTTCCATAGATTCCCCCGTCTCAACCACCAAGCATCTGACCAGGACCCCTGTACAGGTGGCGATGGCCTAGTGGCTGCCCGACACCTCCGTCACTATGGCTACAAGCCAACTATCTACTATCCCAAGCGGAGCAAGAATGATTTGTATCAGGTGAGTGAAGATGCCATTCGCTTTTGTCTATATCGATTGGGTGGTTCGTTCGGCGCATAGTACATGGGGATGTTCTGGCAACTACATACCATCTATCAGCGACACCTCTTGAGCTCTGGGCCATCCGAGCTCAGAATGCTTTTGTTCTCCTTCCACGCAACGCTATGCAAATGCACAACTCTATGATTCTTCTCTCGACAGAAAGAGTAAAGAAACTGGCAGCATCTTTGCGTGTATACGGTGCTGCCATAAAAACTGACCCCTGCCGACCTTTGTTCTCCATGGGGCTTGCCGTCGATCGGTCGTAGCTTTGCTGACTGAAAATTCCTCAGCGGTTGGCGCAGCAGTTGGTGGATCTGGACGTTCCGTTCGTCGACGATTTCCTCACGGCGGCGAAATCTACTGATCATATCGTTGACGCTATCTTCGGTTCGTTCTTTTTCCCCTGTCTACAACATGATCCGTTCACGCGCCTGACATTTTGAGGCAAGGGTTCAGCTTTTCTGGAGAAGTCCGGGAGCCTTTCCCCGCGGTGATCAAGGCGCTCGAGGAGACAAAGCTGCCGGTCACTTCGGTTGACGCCCCATCATCGTGGGATATCGAAAATGGCCCGCCTTCGTCCGGCCCCGGGAGCTCGTTCCAACCTGAGGTCCTTGTCAGCCTGACAGCACCAAAGCCACTGGTGAAGCATTTCAAAGGACGGCACTTCATCGGCGGAAGGTATGCACAATATCCGCCATAACACCAAGCTTGAGAAATCTGTTGGCTGACCTTGGGAGCAGATTCGTATCGCCGGGCATTGCTGAAAAATACAATTTGGAAATTCCGCAGTACGAAGGCATCGACCAGGTGGTGGAAGTTGATAATAACGGCCAGAAGCTGTAAAATCCGTTAGTCGACTGAATTTACCAAATTTTACTGTGTATTAGCCAAGGGCACTTACAGTCGGCTCTTGCTTTCTCTTTTTTTTCCTTTCCGAAGTTTCTCCCTAAATGACCAAGCAGCCCCCCACGCGGCTATTTGGACAAACAGGACTCGGACATCGCCCGTCGAGCATCTGCATTGGGTGTACTACAACACCAAATGGACACTCCAACAAAGGAGGATGGTATGCTTGACAAAAGGCGACATAGACTAAGAAGAGTCTCCGACAGACTGGGCAAACAGATTTGTGCTCAACACACATGAAAGCCGAGTGAAACGGACGTTGAGCCTCTCGGACAGCGTGTGACGAGTGATTCGGAGGGCGTTGTTTTGGAAAAGGGCAACATGAGAGTATTATCCCGGATTAAAATGACTGACAGAGAGAATAATAGGCGAGGTGACCACAGAGGCAGTTGGAGAGCGTGCCAAACCGGTGGCCTTGGTGTGGCTGATATAAACAACAGCTGTGGCTGCCCCGCGACCTTGGTTCGGGTCATCCAATGGAGAGCAAAGTTTTGAAGGAATTGCCACACGATGGGTTCCACCAGGACCCCTTGCTGGGCCGGAGCGTTTTCGACGACGACGGACGTTGCGGACGGAGGATATCGAAGGCTTCTCTTCTGGTTGGTCAGTGCGGGCAGGGTCTTTGAACCGGGGCGGGAGAGGCGAGCCAGTACCGGATAGTGTACGCAACGGACTCGACGGGAAGAAGAGTCTAGGTGGTGTAGGATGTACGTTGTACCTGGGGGTGGAAGGGCGGGAAGAAGGCAACGTACGAGGGGCGAGTGAACTTGTGAAGGGAAAAGTGGAAGGGGAAGAAAGGTTGAGATGAGAAGGGCAGGGCAATGTTGGCGGCGGCGGAATGGAGCGGATAAGGCGATGACAGTGAAGCACAGTTCTAGTCATACTGGACAAAATTGATTTGTCTGGTTGGGCATATATTTTGGTGCGTTTCCATATCCCGTTCTTTTTTCCACGGTATTCTCCCCCTCTTGCTTGAGGTACTCTGTACTCTGTACAGTACACATTGCCTGCCATAGGTAAACCTTTTTTCTCACAGCTGCATCCCCAGGTCAGGCCCATGTCCGGGTCAGGTAAGGTACATTGGAGGGTGCAAAGCCACAACTTTGGGGCCCAAGGCCCCTTCAATGGGGGAACGGGTGGGAAGACTCCAAGGAAGGGGAGAGCGCGCGCGGGCAAAAAGTCGAATGGGGGCATCTCCAACTCACGGCATAGAACAAGCTGGGCCTTGCCGGAGCAAAAGCTCCGTTTACCCCTGTGCCAGGCCCAAGCGGCAAGGCAGCGCTTACGGGGCCGCATGGAGCACTGCGTGGTACTACCGAACGGGACCCGCTCGTCCTCTTTTTTTCTGGAAGGGAGACTGGGAGACTGGAGTGCATTGTACACTTACCTTTACATTTTAGTGGTCTTGTGCCAGTTGTGGGAGGAGCGAGATGGAGTTCCACCTTGAAGGAGAGTGAGAGGGAAAGTGGAAGCCACGATTGGTGGCCCTCCACTCCCTCTTTCCATTCTCACTTGACTGTTGTACCTTCCATTGCTGACGAATACCTGTACGGGTGTAAGGTACCTACACAGCAAGGTACAAGATCAAAGTGCTTGGGTCCCAGGACGTTCCTGTTGACCTCGGAACCCCGTCAATTGGAGTCGGAGCAGAATTCCTGTGTTCATCCAGGGAAGGTCTAAAGTGAAAAGGGGAAAAAGAAGAGACGAAGAAAAGGGTCTAGAACTTTTGTTGGTGATGTGGGATGTAGATGTAGCAGGTACAATTGACCGGCTCAGTTGCTCCTGCTCTCGTTCTTTCCTCCATCCCACCTCATGGACCCAAAGTATTTGTGTACCTGGCCCTTCCTTGCCTCGCTTTGCATCTATCCTCTTCTCTCTTTTACACTCACACACTTCCGTCATCTTCCTGCATACCAGCCTTGCGCTTCCTTTGCTTCATCTATCCAACATTGCCCCCCTCAGCTGCCGGAAGCTTTCTCCATCGACCAACACCAACCAGGCGGGCCGGTTCGTCTGCGCTAAACCGTTCACCTCTCGGTATTTTCTCTTCGCTCCTCGGATGTCAACAACTGCCATTATCTGGCCTCGGCCTCCGAGTGCCGGCCATCCCAACGTCTAGCACCTGCATCGAGTTCTGGACTATTCGCTCCGGTCGCAACACGGCAGCTCATGGTGCCAACGCTGAGGTGTCGACCTGAGGAGGATGTCGTGGTTCACTGTACAGAGACTTCGCGTCAGCAAGGGTAGGACAACCATGCGTGGCCGGGCCGCCCGCGTGGCTCTCCGGTTATCTGTCCATCCAAGGCCCCTGCCGCTCTCAAGCCAAATAACGGTTCGCAAGACGTCATCGACACTACTAGGAATGGGGGTATCCAAAAATGCACCATGGCCCCGTGGATTTTCTTGACCACGAGGGCAGAAAAAAAACACCCTTCTACTTCAGTCGCGGGACGACAGATCTTTGGCTTCCTCGAAACCTCGGAGCATCACGGTCTAGTTCGCCTCCATCTCACGACAACTTACGATCGGTTATGTCGGACAACGCAAAAGAGTCAATCCTTACCCTTGTCAGGTTCACATGACGAGGTCTGTGTCAATCAGGCACAACGACACCGTCCTCCACAGGCTGAGAACAGTCAAGCCCATGAAATTTGACGGCGTGTTAGCGAACTAGCGACTACAGACCTCAGGGTGCCTACTGTGTAAAGTTTCTGGTGCCTTCGAGCAACATGGCCGCGTCCCGCCCTAAGATGAGACCCTGGACGGGAATGCCCTCTGGGCCTCCCGTCAGGATCAAGCTAAAAGCTACCGGACACAGCGATTAACCTTGACTCGGGCCCCCGCCAGATTGAGGCTGATGCTTTTCCTACTGCAGATGTGGTAGCTTGGAGCACAGCAGTCACGCAGCCACGCAGCCACGCAGACGCAATGGTTGGACCAAAGATGGCCCGTTAGCCTGGCGATCCCTTCGAAAAGACGGATTTTCAGTGATCGCGCCGCCCTCAAAGCACAAGTCCTGCACAGGCCACGCAGTCTGTCACGCGAATTCGCACAACCCGACAACAGAAAATGAAGCATGGTCTGATTGCGCAATTGACTTCGCGGTAATGAAGAGAATGATCAAATTCTGAACCCACGAGACTTACGGCTGGCTAGCTATCCTACTGCCTAGGTATGCTAGATGGCAGAGCTTGCTTCATCAACTCGACAAAGTCGTATTCGCAAAGGTTTACCCCGCCGTCCAGAGCTGTGGCCCCTGGTCATTGAGCGGGGACTGGGGCGTTGCCCGACAGCGTGGCGGATGACGGACACTTCCGACCAGATTGGCAGACTCGACTGTCCTACTTGGGCCTTTTTATGCAGGGATCCGGCAAGGGCAACATCACCATGTTGAATTGGTTGGGTTGTCCTGAAACGGACAACGAATCATCAAATTCTTCCGGCAACGGGGGCTCTCCGTTGGTCCCAGAAGAGCGGATTTATACGGATACATGCTGGACAGCTTTGGAGACAACACCACGCGTTGAGCGGATCGATCGCAGAGGTTCGCGGCAGGCAAATAGGCAGGGGCCTGCATGTCATGTTGTTGCAATGCCTTTTGCGTGCTGATTTCCACGGACTATCAAAACCAGCCCACGTCAATTCAACCGTCGGACTTGATTCATCCTCCCCCTGAAAGAGTTCCTCCGCATTATCAAGTTCTTCACACTAGTCGTCTTGATGTTTGGTACACTAAAGTCCTTCTGCTACCCTGACTTCTGGTACTGTGGAATTGCGGATATTCGTTGCGGCAATGATTCGGCGACTGTCGGCGCCCAACGAGATTGAGTTTTCTTATCATTCCAGCTCTCCCTCTGTTCCTGACTCTGCTGCACTCAGCATGACCATATGTGGAGACGCTTCTTGAGTCGTGCAAAAGCTTTAAAACCTAACGATTCCTTGCCCATTGCTTTTAAGGGTCCATGAGACCATGACAGGCAATGGGGTAGCTGACTGACGTCGGCAACTAGGGACATCTCCCGCATCGCTCTACGCCGCCTTTTTGATATTGCTCATTCGGATCGATGCGACACTGTGTTGCATCTATTGGAATTCAGCGCTGTGAGGCAGCGATTCTTGGCATGAGCTCCTCCACCAACTGATGCCAGACAGATACTTACCGATCTTTCATGGTAAGGCTTGCGCGCCGTAAATTGTGTCCTGATGACTTGGAGCCCAATATTCAAGGTCCCGTGAAAACTGAGTCGGAGCTGGCTCCGGTTCGACAACTTTTTGCGCCAGCGCAGATCACAGACTAGGTAAGGCCGCGCGAGTTGGCCATGTGGGATAATTAGTGGCCGCATCATTTTGGCCACGAAATGCATGGGTAATTTACGCAAGCCCGCGTGCCCGCGTCAAGGATCGACATGTCTACCCACGGAGTAGTGTGTAACTGGCAATCAGCGGTGATCATTCCCTGCCTTGGTCGAAGGCCAATCGTCAGCCCGTGACAGCTCAATTCGGCTCTCTGTTCGATTCGTTTGCCAGTTTCAACTTTCACGATACAAATACCCAATTTCCCAATGCATGTGGAGTTTGAGGGTATTCCCACCCTTGCCTCGTGTTGCACCATTTCTCTGAGTTTGTCTTTCCTTGCTTTTCTCAATATCGTGGTGGGACCTGTCTTGTGTGTTGCATTGTACGAAGAATCTGAGCGTTGCGTTTAGACTTCTCGACGAGATTCGCGAAGATTCGAGCTCGTTGGAGACCCGGGTGGGGCACGGAGTTTCCCACGTCTTATGTACAGTGCGGGCGGGGCCGGTGATGCCTTCGAAATGGCATGACATACCGGTTCACCTGCATGTACGAAGTCATCTTTGACTACGTGGACAAAATTTGCGCGTAATCTTCAGTTTGACTTGGTGTGTACACTAATATCAATCAATGCCTATCGTAACAGAGGGGAAAGAGGGGTCTACGAAGGGGGGCACCGAGTTTGTTTCAACGTCAACCAACGATGTTAGGCGGCACGGCGGACACGGAAGACTATGCCTGTCTTCGTCTGATGTTGCTCAAACCTTGGATATCTAGTTCCAGTGGAAGCTAGAACTCTCACGAATGCAGTAGTTATATCCAGAAAAGCTTGGGATTTCTGCAGAACCGTTGTCAAATGACTTGCCACCCCTCAAATTTGAGGACTGAGTTGTCCATGGCAGAGTTTACAGGGAGTCCTTGATGGAACCAGGCGTAAAATCCTGGAATTCTGGAGCAACAACAAGAACCCGGGTGCAAGTCGCATCTACATCGTTTGTACATTATACATCTCTTGTATCATCTACATCCCCTTGTGACATGACATCGAGTGGTTATACTCAACCCACCGTGTCGGAAACGATGGCCAGGGACGGAATGTAACGATTTTACCAACATCACGGAACCGCGTCGCATGAATCCCAAAGCCACGTCAGAAACCTGGGTGGCGGCGGAGTCCATAGTGTAGAATCATAAGCCACATGTTTGATTTTGCAAGATAAGCTCTAGATCTCTGCTCATCTTCTGCTTCACGCCCTGCCATCGAGTCTTGGCCCTGATCGATAGACTACGTTCTAGACCTGAGTAGAATCTTCTAGCCTCAAATGCCAATCGTCCCAATCTCATGGTAAGCCTGGTGACTAACTCTCCGCCGCGAAGAGTATTTGAACCTCCGGACCTACTCTTCCGATTCATGATGTCGTGGGTCGTTGTTGACGTGGTCCCGACGGGGGCGAATCTACCATACGCTCCCATCTTCGTCAGACAGAGGTCACAGTGGCCTCGGAGGAGGTACGTTGTGATGAGACTTGTTTGCCCCCGGTGACAGAGGCGGTTTGGTGGGGTGGAGGGGCAGTATTGGCGCCATGTCGATTCGATTACATCGCAATCGCGGCACTTGATGATGTGGATTGTGCACATCTTGGAAGTGGCGGGGCGGTGAAGGCATAGCTGTGAGTCGGTGTCGAGTTGATTCTGACGAGTCTTGCAGGGTTTGGCAGGACTTGCTTAGTCTGCTTTTCGAGATTTGTGGACCAGAGATCGGACTTTGAGAGCGGTTTTGTCGGAGGAAGTTTTGTGGTGATTGTGGTGTGACGGTGAATCACCGCTAGGAAGTATAGTGGAGGAATATCGTCTGAACGTTGCTTCATTAGGGCAAGTACGAAGAGTGAATGAGTATGATCTCCACGACAAAATTCAACATCGAGACGAATGAAGGGTGACTCGTCATCTTCGTTTGTAAAGGCTCAGCCCGTCTCTTCGGGCTTCAAGAGTCATGAGTTCTGGGTATGAGACATCGCTCAGTGCAATCGATCGTCGATTATCAAGGTGGGGATTGCAGAGCGCCGCGCATTCGCCACCGCGTTATGTTCACAGAGCCTATGTTATCATAAGTCTTAGGCGATGTCATGTCCCCAACGCTGCCCAAGTGGCTGGCAGAACGAGGCCATGTGAAGTCAGGCTGGATGTAGTGACAGACCAGTAGCTGCTCATAGGCAATTGAAGAGTCAGCGGTCCGTTACACGTGTCAATATCTCTCAATAATTAGAAAGGATAATGTGGCCAAGAAATATCTTGGAACACCTCTCTTTTTGAGGTACCGATCGACCAGACCCAAGGGAACAACATTACGAGCTGGATACATGCATCATGATCCCATAGTATGTCAGTGACAGCCACGAAGGCATTGTTACTCGAAAACTTTGTACTGAGATTGGTAGACTGGTAGTAGAAATGTTTGATCCCAATCCCCTAACCGTTCCTCGACTGTTGAACTCATGTCGATGGACAGAACTTGACAAGCTACACCCACTTTCAGATCGAGAAGCATTCGTCGTAATGTATGCTCCTCATGCCGATGCCTCTCTCCTAATGACCCATTGCCTCTTTCTACCGAAGTAAACATGTCCAGAGATCTCTTCGTTCCTTATTCGCATTGCAAGGGTCTCAAGGACCGGTACATTCAGCCATGCACGCCGCGTAATCCGTGAAAAGTCTTCTGAGGCATGGGACCAAGCATCCAGCCTATTCATATCGTCAGTCAACCGGCCGCTAATTCGTTAGCAAATTTAGGCAAGGTTTCTTACGTCCTAGAGAGCATAGAATATTAGCCGTTCGTCACTGAGACTCTGTGGATTTGGCAAGGGTGTTGTCTACTTACGTTGATGCCACCTCTCCATGGGCGGCGCTCCTCCTCGGGCACTGGGGTAGCGCTGACAGTGGCGAGGAGCAAGACGACGGTCGCCAGGCAACTCATTGATACGCGCATCTTGATAATTCTAGTGAATTTTCTTGTGGATCGAGACCGGTGTGGTGTGGTTGCGAATGTGGATGCGACAGATGCGGAAGCCTTTGCGTGGTGGTGTGGTTGAATGTGATATGTTTCGTCGTTGTGTGGTGGATGAAGATCTCCGATAACATTAATCCTGGGGAAAAGACCATTTATATGTGACTTTATGAGGGCATTGATTACCTTGATAGGTATGCTCAACAAAGTTCCTCGGAGTTTTGGTCCCAGATCTCGGTGCATAACCGCGCCCCATTTACCTTGTGTGGTTTGTGAGGACCTTCCACTGAGCAGCGGTAGGTATTTTGAGTTCCATTGGAATAAGTCAACACGTCGAGCCGTAAGTTCCTCATCTCTCAGGAGCAAAGTTTCGGGCCCTGAAATGAAGGATGTCACTTTAGGAGTTCACTCAGCAAGTATCCATGCGATCATATCTAATGGTCAGATCACGGTGACCTCTTCGCCTTGGGGTTTTGCTGAAAGGACACGGCACTTCCGTATGCCCGGAACTTTGATGAGGAAGGAGGCACTTACATCTTTTCATAGGTAGAATACCTTGAGTCCTTGACCGTCGAACCCTAACAGAGGTCTAGTATTGCCGATGACCTTCACTTTCGACTTATCGAAGGATTTCGAATTTCATCGTTCTCTTAAACACTGAGTATATCGTCCTATTAGTCAAGCATTCATATTGCAACGACAGCCAAATTTCACGTAACTGCCGCACAAAGCGCTCCGAAGCACCTCGCCGGAGACATTTCCAAGTCAGATCAGGGATGTTGTTGTGGGCGGTGGAACTGTTGCTAGATACTATTCTCCATTACCGAGGGAAAGCTCGGAAGAAATCCTTTGTCCAACGTTTTTTGAGCGCGTGTGCAGCTTCAATGGGTCTTCTTGTTCCGGACAAGACGCTCCGAAGACCGAGTCTTGCAATCGATACGGAGGACAGTGCTAGAGAGCTTTAGGGGAAACTTCTGTCCGTATTTTCCCGTTCATTTTCAATCCTTCGAGAGGCTCCTCCAAGGCTTACGCTCCAAATATAGCACTCCCAATATTGTGGTACATTGGGACCGTATGCAACCCCCCAGATCTTTCGTCGCTGACTCTTGACAAAATCCCTGGTCTGCGCACAGTAAAACTAGCCGAAAATGCCGTTTAATGCATATCCTTATCCAGCTGTTCAGAATGCTAGAGAGGCTATGGAGTGTGATCCAAGAATCCCATGGAGGTCAACACAGGCAACAGCTGTGTCCACCAGCTGTGAGAAATATTGGATTTTTCACCCTAGAAAGACCACAGGGAATTTAGGCCATGAATAAAATCCAGTTTTTGTATTGAAGTACATGTTCTACCAGTCATAGAGTGAACTTGATGCTGTTCTGAAACATGTGTTTGGTGCAGTAAAGAGAAATCACTGCTGGGTCATGCCGGGAGGGCAGGGACCAGTGTAGTGCTCACATTCAGCGACCCATTCACCCTTGCCGCCGTACTTTGCGTCACAATCCGCTTGGGTGATGGGGTTGTTCAGAATACACTATGACTACGTCAGTACCTGCACGAAGCATGCGTCACGTTGAAATATCTCACCGCTTGGACGTTGGTCTTCGAGTTCCAGCAGCGGGTGTGACCCAAGCCAGGTCCGCAGAACTTGAGGGCAACCTTGATGTTGGGTTGCTCTCTGTTGCGGCAGTTGCACATCCAAGCCGAAACAGCATTGGGGGCACTAACGATGGTGTCAGTCATCGAATTGTAATAGGTGAAGGGCGAGTGCGGCCTCACAGGAAAGCGAAGGCGAGAACAGCAGCAACCTTCATTTTGAATTAAGGCCTGAGGTTGAGATGATGCGAAAGTGGTATAGAGACACTTGGGTATTGATGTGAATGATGAGACGAATGGAAATGGTGAGAATGCTTGGCGATCTTTTACTCTTATTATACTCAAGTGCGCACCATCTTGATGTCTGCATTTCTTTCTTATCTTTGATTGTGTGTACTTCGCATTCGCATCACGGCTATTGAACAGCCGGGTTGGAATCAAATTTCCGCTTCATGGATCGCAATTTCTGATGGTAGGAAAATCGAACTATGGGAGCATGATGAACAGAACCTCTGTGTCTACGAGAACTTTTGTTATCATGTGCGCCTGGATTAATCTGTTTGATTTCCAACTAGAATGGGTTTGTTGGCAAGCACAGCTCAAACCATGGTGTCAGCACGTTTTGATAGAGTTCATATTTGGCAAGTGACTAAACCAAAGTGCAGACTACGAAAAGCATAAATTGTGTGGATACTGTCTCTCACCAACTGTCTAGTCGGTACTGACCGGATAAGATGATTGATTGCTTGAGGCAGCTGAGTAGCACAGATGCTATGAAAAGACCGAAGTCATCGCGATTGAAGGGCAATGAATGACATGGCCAAGTATCCCTAGTTTGAAGCTTGATAAATGGGTGGGTAAGTCAAACCCCCCACTTCCCGGCACCCCCCTGTTTCTGGCACCCACAAAAACGCGAAAATCCACCACAACGCAATGCCCACCCCCAACCTCCTTTTATCACAACATTTTCAATTCGAGTCCAAATGGGCTCATTTTTTGCACATACCTTCTTCTATATCTAATGCCTCAATATACCGAAGATCAGCTTCGTCAGGCTCTCGAGGACATCTCAAACGGCAAGAGTCAAAGAGAGCCTCATTGGATATGGGATACCACGATCAACCCTCCAACTACGTCTCCAAGGTGGTCAGACTAGGAAAGTGGCTTTGCTGACTGGCAGAGGCTGTCTCCTGACCAGGAGAGTAAGCTGGCACAATGGGTTCGCATTCAGGCTTCGCTGGGCCTCGCACCACGCGCACCAACAGGTGAAGGAATTCGCAGAGCGAGTTCTGGCTGCTGCTGGGGATACCAAACCATTAGGAAAAGGCTGGATCTATGCCTTCGTGAGAAGGAACCCTATCATTAAGGTTCAGAGAAGTCGTTCCATCGATTCTAGACGCGTTAATGGGGCATCTACTGAGGTCATTAGGAACTGGTTTAAGTTCCTTGCTATCCCTGAGATCAAGGACATCAAACCAGCCAACAGATATAATATGGATGAGACTGGCATCCTCGAGGGTCAGGGAGCTAATGGGTTAGTGCTGGGCATGGCTGAGACGACGTCTGTTCGCAAGAAACAACCTGGGTCGAGGGCATGGGTCTCTATCATTGAGTGTATCTCAGCCTTGGGTAGGGCACTTCGTCCTCTTATCATTTTCAAGGAAGACGGTCCAACAACAGTGGTTTCCATTACATCTGGTTCCATACGATGGGTGGGAGTTTACAGCAACAGATAATGGCTGGACTACAGACTTAACTGCCATTGAATGGTTAGAGAAGGTGTTTATCCCACAGACTATGCCCGAGGCTGAGGGCGAGGCTCGACTGTTGATTGTGGATGGGCATGGGGTCATACGACGACAGACTTCATGTGGAATTGCTATATTAACAATATCCATTTACTGTTCTTACCACCACACTCCTCTCATGTCCTCCAGCCACTTGACCAGTCTGTCTTCAGCCCTGTTAAGTCAGCCTATCGGAAGGAGCTCGGTTACTTGTCTCAATGGAACGACTCTACCATTATAGGTAAAGGAACTTCCTGGACTGTTACCAGAAGGCTCGACTTGCTGGTCTATCAGTCTCGAACATCAGAAGTGGTTGGAAGTGGACTGGTCTACACCCTGTAGCGATGGTTAAGCCCCTGATGAACCCTATGGTATTACCTGAGCCTTCTGCTAAGCCCACCACACCCAAACCAACCAGTCGGGGCAAAAAGCGATGCCATAATGGTCAACAAACTACCCCTGTTGAGCCATGGGATTCTGCTTCCTCTGCAGTGGTCTGGTCGACACCCAGGAAGCTGGCAGAGCTCAGCGGTCAACTGCACTTATACACCCAACTCGACAATGATACCAGCACTCAACGGCTGCTGTTCAGGAAGGTGAAAAAAGGCTTCACAGAGCAGGCCTGGCAACTGGCAGCTGCCCAGCAGCAGCTGGCTCACCTGAGGGCTCAAGTTACCAACGCTGCAGTTAGGAAGAGGAAGACTGTTCAGATCGATCCCAACACGAAGTTTGCGAACATCAGGGATATCCATCGGGCTCAAATCGAAGCGGGTGAAAAGGAGGTTATTACGGCTGAATCCAGCGACTCTGAATGCCCTAGTGAGGCTGGCAGTTGTATTGTAGTGGGTGTGGTTGAGGATCAATAGTTAATAGTAATGAGGAGGTTGGGTTGTGATCCCATCGTTTTTGTGGGTGCCAGAAACAGGGGGGTGCCAGGAAGTGGGGGGTTTGACTTAAAGCTAGATCATAATACGCAAGGGATCTTGACTTGGCTAGACGCGGCAAAGACCTTGGTGGGAAATTGCCAGACATGCCGGCTGCCGCCATATTAATCGATGTAGAGAACCCGGCCTCAAGGCAACAGTAGAAGACAATCGCATCTGTTATTGACTACTGTAGCTTTTGAGTGCTGCGATTGCATGGTATCGTAAAGGTGCTAGCGTAATATACGATTTAGCCAAAAGGGCTTCGTGTCCACACGAACTCTGAATACCCCAGAAGTGAGGCAAACGTCATGGGCACTTTTGTCTTCGCGAACTTCCGTTCTGGGTGCCTCGTACAGAAGCATATTAAGCAATAGAATGGAAGTAATGACAGCGATGACTTAGAGAAATTCAGCCGGGAGACCCGAGATTATCTTTGGCATTGCTAGGTCAGATCACTGAACCGGACACTTAACTTCCAGTAGTTAGCAGAGAACTTTCGTGGCCGACTTAAGGCACGGATTCGCACAATTGGGTGCCCTGTCTAGGAAACTTAAACATTGCGTGAGGTTAAACTAGTGCGGACCTTGTAGTCAGCAAGCAACCGCGTTCGTCGGTAAGTCCGCTCCGCAAACGCTAGAAATCATGGAGCAAATACAATATTGAACTCATACTTTGCTGACTCGTGCAACTTCAACTACTGCATAATACCCAATACCCACTAGGTCTCAAACATGATGCTTGCAACTTTTAATTGTGCCCGGACCGATCAAAAGCTTAGCAACTTTTACACTTTTGTAGGAAAGCTTGTGAAAGTTATTGCCTCAATGATGAGTCGGAAGGCAATACCCGAATTCAGTAATCGTTAGCTCTGGACGGAGCATTTGCAAAGATGCAGCTATTTTCAGGCACAGCGACTGCCATAACACTCTTCTATTGAAATATTGTATAAAAGGTATGCTTCAGCTCGCCACGAAATAGTATGTATTCAATAGCACAACATCACATTCACTTTCAAACATTATCTCATCAACTTCCACTCGCTTCATCTAGCTTAGATCTACAAGCTCACCATGCGTTTCGCCGCTGCTACCATCGCTCTCCTGCTGGCTGTTGCCTCAGCCACTCCTGTCCCTGACGTGAACGAGGCGAGCCTCGACAGGGAGCCTGAAAGTGAGCTTTACCTGCAAGAATCGATAATCAGATCTAATGAATGATGTAGGCAGGACCATCGTCGACCTCGGCTTCCTCCAGGCTCACGAGACTCGCGATGTCAACATCGCTGACGGTAAAAAAGCCTTGAGATTCCAGCACTTATACAAAGCTGACATCGAAAAGTTGTCGTAGCCAGAGCTTCTGATGATGTTGAAAACTCGCTCGAGCGTCGTGGTATGTCAGTCCGCTCGTGTTCAGCGAAGAAAAGGGCCATTAACACATCATAGTCTGGCCTCATGACCACCAGAGTGGCATCTTCAAGGCTGGTAATGGCTACTACAAGAGAATCGTCACCGGCCTCGTCATTAATGGAGTCAACGTCGCTGTGACCGCTTGGTTCAACGACATCCATACACTCTTCTTGCAGTTCGATGCCGCCTTCCCCAACGGTTAGTGCTCATCCACCCAAATGGATTCACAGTGAGCTGATACTACAAAGCCCCTAACTTCATCTTCGCCGGATTTGAGGATGTCTCTACCGGCGTGGAGCGCGCCCCCTGGAGAATTAGCTGGGATGAGATTTACAGCCTGGCCATCAAGCCCGGTGAAAGATTCCAGTTTGACAACTCCTTCGTCATGTGGTGGAAATAAATGATGACCCAGCTCTGATGAACCTCAAACATTGTGTCAGCGACTTCACTCACATTGGGGTTCATAGAAAAGCTCTACAGCAGCACGGTGTCTCGACAATTGCTATCTCTGTGTCTGTTCGGCGGGAAACTTATTCGGATCCGAACGCGGGGCTGGTCGCCAGTTAACGAAGGGGGCTTGTAGCCGGGGGTGGAAAAGAGCGCTTTGCCTGTCATTCATTATGTTCAATCATTATATCCGGCAATAAAATCTTTTTCGCTAGGAGGATTAGAACCTGAAGTGGTCATGAGGATTGCACGTGATACTGATCAAATTACCTGACACCTTTCCAAAGCCAAGAGGTATCGCAGGTTAGAGCGCCCAGCTCTCGGCGCCTACATAAAGGGGGTGGGCCCTACAATGGGTCGATGATGGGATGGACTTTAGGGAGCATCGGACGGAGATGACCCCTGGTTCAGGGATCGAACCTTGTCCAAACCACCAATTCACAGCGAACGATGACTACAGATCAGGGGTGATCAGTTCGCCAACAATATGATGGTCGAAAACTTTTAGAAAACTGATTTAGGATTGTTTCTTGATGAAGGACAACGGTAGGTTGGAAAAGTCATGGTCTGATGTTTCGTTGATCTGAATCATTAGGGAGAATCTCAAACGCGTCCAGTCACAAACATCGTAAGGTCTCGACCCATCCATAAGGGAACGCAAGTGTTCTCCAGCCCCATAAGACACCGTGAAACGCATGAATCTCGAGTCGGAGGATTGTGGCGCCACTGTCAACCAGACAATTGCGTTGGGCTTGGCCTTGCATAGAACTACGAAAAATATAACATGCCGTAATTTTGCTGTATAAATTTGGATTGCAGAGTTCAGAGCCTACATCAAAGAAAGAATTCCAGCTTACAACCAATAAATCTGACAATCGATTGTATTGCAAACGAAACAAAGAATGAGCAACAAAACAGGCTCCAGTGGGAGCATGGGCAACTCCAGTAATCCTCGCCCCGGACAATCTCCATTCCCGCCTTCCAATGCCCTGGTCCGCCAAACGCCACCAGGTTCGCAGCAGAGCCAACCATACACGAGCTCATACAGCAACAACTTTGATCGGAGCAGCGCCAGATATAGTACGGGCAGAACTGATGAGAGCTCGCGCTACAGTCAGGAGACCACAGAACCTCCGAAGCTTTCTCGATCACCCCCGTCACGCCGGGAACAAAAGAAGCCTGAACCAAATAAGAACTGGGAGGACAGCATCTACGGAATGTACGGTGATATTAAAACACCCAGGGAGCCGCCACTTCCTCCACCACCGAGGCAACAGCAGCAGCAGCAGCAGCAGCAGCAACGCCGCCGATATGAGCAGCCCGAAGATGATGAAGGAAATAATTCCTTTGATGAAGAGGTACCACGGCGACCTGAGCCGAGACCAGAGCCTCAAAGACCACGCAATAGCCGGCAGCGACAGAATTCCAGACCAGAGCAGAGGCGCCAAAATTCACGACAAGATCAGCAAAGAAACGAGCAAGATGATGACAGAGATGAAGACGGAGCGCGAAGGAGGGTGCATGTTAACATCGATATTGGTGGCGACGGAGGCCGCTCCTGGTCATGGACATCCGACTCACGTGGGCCAAACACGGTCAACTTTGACAATACTCCCTTTGTTGGCGGAGGCTTCCCCTTTGGTGGACGAAATAACAACGGCGGTAGGCTTCCCGTCAATATTCCCTTCGGCGGAGGACTTCCGATCAATCTTCCGTTCGGACTATGATGGCACGACTGGACATCAAACGAAGCGCATGTCTTGCGAGAAGACCGGGCTCTACACAGCTCCTTAGGAATATTTCTCAACCTTATGTAACTTATACTTGCATGTACCAACAGTCACTAGCCTTTACTACTTTGAGAACAATTTTCCCCAATCACCCAAGTGTTTCATATCAATCTTGGATTCTCGCAGCATATCCCAAATGACTGTGATAACGGTGTCAAGTACGAGAATGTCATGCTTGTCCTCCCAGAAAGCCACCCTCTGAGCTGCTCTCAAATTTGTGCAGAATATTGCTATTGCTTCTGGTCTCTGAGCCGCCACAGCGCTCACGAGACCGTCTAACGTAGTTTCGTCGACGCGGCCAAAAGATGAGTTCACCGTAAGGCCTAGATGCCGTTCTTTTTGGCAGCTCACTCCGACACGTGAATAGTTCCGAATGATGGCTTCCTGGACAGCATCTGTGTAAGGAGTGACCAAGCCAAGATCTTTGACGTCAAACTTCTGCAAGGCCTTGTTCAGCGCGAGAACAGAAGTCGTCGCGGGAATTCCTGTTGCCGCAGTGATAGCTGTACACAACCTCTCGTCGGCTTCAAACCCCAGCCAACCCGACGAGGTACCACTCCAACCGATCATGTCAACCTCGGCATCGGCCAAAAGCTGCGCGGCTGAGATCAAGTTATCGGTCTGAAATTGGTCAAGCCCATCGTCATCTAGGCTGATCTTCAGGACTCGAAAACGAGAAAAGTGAACTGTGACATCCGGAAGCCCGGAGATGATGGCTTGTGTGAGAGGTTCGAGGCTAGTATTGGAAGAGGGCGTGATGATTCCTAATCGAATCTTCCGCGCCATGTCCAGGGGAGTTTCGATGAAGACTTGAATTTGCCCGCGATTGGATTTGCTTTCGTTGCTTGATCGTAATCAAGAGTTCTACATGTGTGATTTTTCCCTGAATATTGACATCAACTTTCCGTCGCTGGTCCTAAGCACCGTTATCAATCACCGACGTACCCCGCACCATGTTGACCCATAACTTATCCGAGCCTTTCGGGACGGAGCATGGATCAGCCGGCTGTTGCCTTCCTGCCGTCCGTCTTGGTCGTACCTCAAATTATACCGCTAAGTCAAGGTGGATTTTCAAATCCAGTGCAAATTACCCTAGTGAACCAACTTGTGAAATTGCCTAGTATCTCTACTATGTACCTATCCTGATACCTGTTTCTCAATGCAAAGTTTGCGTAGCTGACAGCAGCTTCTTGAACTCGGAATCAGTCGCTAGCAAGGCATCGGGGGTATCCCACTCCACGACCTCTCCCTGTTTCAAGAGGAGTACCCGATCATACTTTTCGATGAATCTCAGACGGTGTATAACAGAGATTACAGTCTGCTCTGAGAACTCTTCCCCAATAATTCGCTGCATCTTATCTTCCGTGTCTTGGTCGACGCTGAACCGAGGTTAGTCGATGGATGGTCTATGAGTGTTGGGGAAAAGTCCATACCTGCTTGTAGCTTCATCCAAGATCAAGATTTGGCTCTTTTCAACAAGGGCGCGCGTCAATGCTAGAAGTTGTCTTTCCCCTACTGAGAACCCATCGGCATCTAGTTCACTGTCTAGACCACCTGCCATTCCGATCTTACCCAGGAGGCCAACTTTATCGAGTGCTGCTTTAATCGTGTCACTACTTTCGCGGGAGTGTGGATCCAAGTTGAAGCGGACGCTGCCCGGGATGAAGAATGGCTCCTGGGGTATGACGTTGATTCGTGAACGTACTTCCGCTCTCTCCAGACCTTCGAGATCGATGCCATCGATAGAAATCTTCCCGTCAGTAACTTCAATCATCTGAAGAAGTGAGAGAACAAATGAGGTCTTGCCGCTGCCTGATGGCCCGCAGACTGCAATCTTCTGACCGGATGATATTGAAAGTGACAAGCTTTTCAGAGTTGCGTCTCCGTCTTTGGTATATCTCGCAGTGACGTTCTCAAAGTCGATGTGACCTTGCATTGGCCACCTTTCAGGAGGGACACCGGAGCTTCCCAGCTCACGCTCCTCGGAAGGCGTTGTCTGTGCAAACTCTCTTATTCTGGCCACAGCACCGATGGAAGTTTCCAGAGCAGTCCAATTCTTGATTGTGGTCGCAAGAGAATTGTTGAACCCCAGGACCAAGACCATAGACACACCAATTGCTCCAGGAGAAAACTTATCGGTAATGGAAGTTGCCATGCTGACGATGATGAGAGCTAGAGCCCCGACAACGAGATCCAGAACGAGCGCGAGCCATTGTTGGATACAGGCCAGCATGTAGTGGGGTTTCTGTGACGTATTCAGGAGTTTTGTCGCCTGCTCCTCAAAGTTCTCCTGCCATTGGTAGGCGCGAATAGTGGCAACGCCCTTAAGTGTTTCAAGAAAGTGGGTGTAGATTGGGGCCTTGGCTTCGATGTCGAGGAGACGGACTTGGCGAGAAGTGCGGAGATAGTATCGTTGAACGAAGAAGAGCACACCCACTAGAAGAGGCACGGATGTCGCCAAGTACTTGCCCATGACACATAGTATGATGAGCTTCACGATGCAGGCGCAAGCATCTTTAAAAGAGTTAGCTCAGCAAAAGAGTAGCTAGAAAGGTGTTGAAGAGAGAAAACTTACTCGAGGCAAAGTTAATGGCGTTGGACGGAAGAGTCACATCAACCAGATTGAGATCCTGGCTGAATCTAGAGTACGAAGCGGTCAGACTTACGTTCAACTACAAAGTAAGACGTCGCTATAAGGCACACGTACCTGTTGGTGATTGAACCTGTATCAGTGGACTGGAAAAAGCTAAGAGGTGCTCTAAGATAGTGTCAACACATGCGACAGCAGAAAGGGGTCGGTTCTCGCGCTACCTCAAGCTTGTGTGCAGTAAATCGCCATGTAGGCTCATGGCTGTCGCGCTGATGATGCGTATGAAGAGGAGCCTGCCAAGAATGGTCAGCGGCACCGAACCTTAGAAATCAAGTTCTCTCAGGTCTTACCAGCATTCCACAGAAAGCCCAATGCACGCCATCGCGAAGAGAAGGGCGTAAACCCCAAGATACATGCCGAGGTTGTCATTTGGCCGTTTTTCGTTGGCTTCTACCCACCATTGAAACCAGATATCTGAGACGCACGTTAGAGCGATATGAGCAATTCGTATGATTCCCCAAGAACGTACTTGTAAACCCGCTGCAAAACGCCTCGGTGAAAGTGGCGAAGACGAACGCGCCAACTACCAGCCAACCAGCTCGCTCGAAGTAGTACTTGTAAACTGACCAAGAACCGTTTTGGCGCAGTCTATCTTCCTCGGCATCCAGGGTCCTTTGGATGTGTGTGGGTTTCAAAGCCTCCTCAGCTTGCTCCAAATCTTCACCGCTCTGAAGATTATCGTTATCTTCTGATCTCGATTTTGTGATAAAGTCAGGCGAGCTAGCAAGGACCTGTTGATATGGGCCCTGACTCAGGACTTCACCATCGGCAAGAACGATTAACTCATCTGCATGTCGAATTAGGGCACCTGTGTGTCGTTAGCTGAAAGCCTCCGAGTTGCTGTCAACTTCTCCCCGTGGGCAGTCTTACTGGTGTGAGTCGCAAGAATGACGGAGATATCGTTCCGGCGGAAGTGACCATCCTTGCTGAAGAGACGGCTTGAGATCTGGCTGACACTTTTGGAATCAAGGCCGCCGAAGATGTCATCGAGAACTATAACTCGGTGTCTGGAGTAGACCGCGCGAGCGAGTGCCTTGCGAGAACGTCAGACATGGCCATACTTGTGCCTTGCGAAAGGAAGGGGTTCCCAACTCACCACACGCTGTCGCTGTCCTCCGCTCAAGCCGACACCGTTACTGCCAATGTTGTACAACTCTCCTCCAGGCATATTCTTGACGTCATCAGTCAAGGAGCACAGCCACAAGACTTGGTCGAACCATTTCGGATCATGATCGAAGCCACCAGTGATGTTCCTTCTCACGGTGTCGTTCATCATCCACGGAGTCTGCGCGCAGTAGGCGATACCATGAGCCATGCACTCTCTGGTCCCGGCGCTATGTGATGTCTCTCCGAGGATACTCTCCATCAGGCAAGACTTTCCGCATCCAACAGGGCCTACTACCATAGTGATGCCTTTCTTTATCGTCAAGGATAGGTCTTTAAAGACTGTGTCTGAATCAGGCGACCAGGAGATCTTTGCATTGCAGAACGAGATTATCATTACTTCCGATGACTTTTGCGTTGAATGATCCGCGAGCTCGATGCTTGTCCTGTTCAAGGTGGTGACTGATGAGCGCGATGGAGGTGTTGGGTGTTCCCGCAGTGATCCTTCGTGCACTTTCAGACAAAATATTTCGATGCGCTTGAAGCAAGCCACCCCTTGTACAATGTTAGGCACGAATTGGCAGAATAGCAAAAGTGGTTCTGTCAAGAGGCCGATTAAAGACAGAGCAGTGAAGGCATTCGTTGTCGTCAGTGTTTGATCTTTGGTGATGACTGCGATTATACTGTAGATGACAAATGTCGCGAATGGCGCAAATTCGACAGGAAGATTTGCTGCGAAAAGGTTAGCTTTGAAATAGCAGCTCAATGATACAGAGGAACTTGCAAACAAGAATCTGAGAGAGTACTAATTTGCGAAACTTCTCAGAGGTCCTTAACTCGACACGTCGCAGCTCTGTGATAGTGGTTGACAACACGCCTGAGAGACCCAGCATTTTGATAGACTTCATATCTCCCAGCATTGAGGCTGTGACTGCTACTCGCTTCTGTAAACGTTCAATCCAGGCCGTTTGTGCCCTTCCAATGGTCTTAGAGACTGGGATGACGCCAAAAGCGCAGACTTGTGACAACTCCGTCAGCGTTGCGGAGCAGAGTTCAGTTCGTGGACAACCTACCAATAGAAATTACGACTGGCACTACAGATGCAGAGGCTATTTGACGTTGCAGGAGGAATATTGCGATGCCAACTTCCAGAACCGCAGCCCAAATCTGATGAAGGTTGTTGAACGTGAGTACGATGCGTTCGATATCTGTGCCCATCAAAGTAACCGCAGCACTATCTTTCAAGTCATCTGCTTTGAGAGAGATAGTTTGTCTGAATATCATGGACATCAGCCCGGCTCGAAGCATCGTCGTGAAGCGGAACTGGTGGCGGGAAAATGCAGCTCGGGAGACCGCTAGACCGAGGTACGTAAGAACATATGCCCCGACAAGTGCTTGCCCATATCTCTCAGACTGTGGCGTCTTGGGCGTCTGCATGTATTTCACTGTCGCCGTGATGAGGAATGGCTGGCAAAACGTGAACGCAGTGAGAAAGAGACGTGTTATGACGCCGGCGAAGAGAGTCCCGCGATATGCGTGAAAGCCGGAGCGGATCAAAGCATGATACTTCTGCCCTTTGCGCTTCGACCACGCTGCCTCGAGGCTTGCTCCTGCTCTATCTCCAGCTAAGTCTTTGTCAACCTCCGGCATATCCCGGATGTGAATGACCCGCGAGTAGCCGAGACGGAAGAAAGGCATAAGCCAGGTGAAGAAGCTGCGGCCCCAGAAGCCAGTTTCTTCCTCTTTTGTAAGAGCCCGGTACTCTGTTCGCAAGAATCGCTTCTTGCCGATGGACTCCAAGGGAACGACTAGGATGGTGAGAACGATGATGGCAGTCCAGAGACCTCTGGGCGCTCCGGCACTGGTGATGAGCCATAACGTTCTGAGACGCGGTAGTGAGAGTATGGCAGAGGCTGAGAAGTAGAGTATGAGCAAGTCGGATGGACGAGTGGAGCGTTGGTCTTCGAGGAACGAGTGAAAAGTGGCGGCGAAAACGGCGATGAAGTTGAGAATTCCCGCTGCCAGTGAGGTTGGCGTGCCGGGGGCTAAGGTCCTGATGTTAATTACGACAAAACTGAGATGAAGTACAGTCAAGATGCTCAAGAGAGCCTACATCAGTGTTAGTATCTTGAGATGGATGAAGTGAGTTCCTCGAGTCGAGACCCACCAATTTGCAGATGGCAAGTCTGTAAGTGGCTACTTTCACTGGTGTCCGTGCAATGGAAAATATTCGAAATGGAATGAGCAGGAGAAATACTGCCGAAGGGATAATGTGAAAGATGGCATCTTCGAAAAGAAGAGTAAAGTCAAAGTGGCGACAGTTGTAGTCGATCCGAGGGCCGAATTGACCATCGCTGCCCAAATGACAACTGGTGTTGGTCGCCATAGATTCGGGTTTTGTGGATATATTGCGATCAACTCAGTCCAACTTCCCGGACTTTCACAATGAATGCGGATCAGCCCAGTATTTCAAGCCTCGCAGCTGTGTAAGGGACTTTCGTCTTGTGACACCATGTACGCGAACAAACGTCTTACATCAGACCCTTCACTTTCCAAATGATAGCTGTGCTATGCTCAGTGAGGCAGGTCAATCCGGTTCACATAGCCGCTGATTGGACACCATCGAATCGGTATTGACCCGAATATGCATTGCTTATGTCGTCGCGTCCCGGACCCGAGAAGCGGGTCCCGCCATAATGAGTGCAAAAAATCGCCATCTTAGGAATGGACAAGAATGGCGGCGGAAATAAGAGTTAAGAAATTGGGGCCAAACAATGGGGACGCGAATTGAGGAGGGAACTGGGGGTGCCGATGTCGTGATTGATGGGCCCCTCTTTCCTCCGTCCCTCGGTTCTCCACTCGGAGGACCAGAATCCGGAACGTCCACCACGCCCTCAGGCAAGCACCCGTACCCGAAGGTACTTTCCCCGGATCGTCCACCACTGACCCGGACACCTACCGGCCCGAAACTGACGCACGCAAACATGCGCGTTCCTGATCTCATCAGCAACGACAACGCAGTCTCGCAACGCACACGCCAACGTCGCACGTCGTCCACGGTGATAGCTGCATCTGCAGCTTCTTCATCACAATCAGCATCACCAGAAGTGGAAAGTCTACCTCCACCGGTCTCAACCAGAGCCGGCCCACCAAACAAGAAACGACGTGTAACGCAAACAGCAACCCATCTCACGCGAAGAAAACGCGCAGCAACAGCGTGCCAGTTCTGCCGTCTTCGCAAGACGAAATGCGATAACGTCCATCCGGTGTGCGGGTTCTGTCGACATCACCATGCGACCTGCGTGTACGGCGACGAAGGGGAAGATGAAGAAGGAAGAGAGATGGCAGTTAGTGCTGGCCAGGCTCAAGATGAAGGCATCGCTAGTTCAGTCATCTTGGAAAGACTAGATGAGATCAAACACTTGCTGCAGAGAACAAGAAGCCTCTCGAAAGACCAGCCGGCGTCGGTGGAAGCTGACGTACCTCAGGCGGAAACCCATCAAACAGGCGGGACCAAGGTTCATCAGTTTGGGGAAAACAGTGAGCCTCATGGTTACTTCATGGAAGATCATGACCAGCATCGCGAAGAAGCTACCCGCACGCTGTACTCGGCCCTCCGCTGCGAGTCTATGCTCCGGTGGCCTATCTTCGAAGGCATCGTACCAGAGGACGACGCACGAATAGAATCATTCATTCTAGAATTCGGCACCGACATGATCGATAATGGTGTAGACCTGCCCAGCAATTCCTCAACGGTCAACGGATCAGGTATCCAAGAAGATGCTTTCGTCCCCCTTTGCCGGAAGTTTCTCACACATGTCCATCCCCGTAACCCGATTCTCGAGAGCAACGAACTTATAGCCTACGCCAAACAAACAACAGAATACGGCATCAAGTGGGATGCTCCATCCTGTCTTGTGGTAAGAGCCTCAATACCCCTTTAGCGTCCCTAGCAACTAATTACAACCAACAGCTTCTCGCCTGCGCCTTGGCAAGTCTAACAACTCCCTGGGTCCCACCGCGAGAAACCACTACCATGACCTCAATCGACGTTTCAGAGACCCCTCTCCCGCCAATACTTGAACCACAGGACTGCAGCATCGCAGAGGCGTACTACGTCGCAGCATCCAAACGCATCGGTCTTCTAGGTCCCTCCATCCTTGACATACAATGTCTGTTCCTGGCCTCCATGTACGAGAAGTGCCGCCTGCGGCCGCTACGAGCCTGCTTTTACATCCAGCAGGCCTCGACAAGACTGCAAGCTCACCTGCTCCGGCGAGGACGACGGCCGTGGAGGGGGCCCAGTGGACGGGAAGAGCCGACACAGCCCCTTGAGCAACGACTGTTTTGGTCTTGCTTCAAGGCTGAGAAGTGAGTAGCCTCCACCTCCTCTCTGTCTCCACACGGTGAAGGTATTTCCGCTGACCAAAGTAGCGAGATCCTCCCGACTTTGGGCCTCCGACCAAGCGGCCTAGAGGACTTCACCTACCCAGACTCCTTCCCTGCGCCTCCTTCGACACTCTCCACGGCAGCGGTATGCACCATCGGCGTCAACGAGGCACCCGCGAATCCCTCGGACTACGCCTGGTCCCCATTCTCAGACTCCCAACAACGCCTGGAAGAAGAACGCAGTTGGCTTTACTACCTCGCCGAGATCTCCCTCCGGCGAACGATCAAAAACACCATGTCTGTGTTATACCGAAAAGGCGAAGCCTACTGGCTGAGGAACGAGGATTTATTAATCCGACAATACGATGAGTTTGAAAAGGAAATTTCGCAATTGTTAGTTACTTCTGCCCCGCCTTCCCATGTTATCCGGACGGAGTCCTTCCCTGTACCCCCAAATCGAGTCCTCCACTTGATTTCCCCAGTCTTGGCGGATTTCGAAGCACCGCGAATAAATCTCCGAGGAATTCAGCACAGCAACCACCCCAGCCGAATGCCGAACTTACACGTCTCCCAGACACTTCCATCTTCCGCCCCTGATCCAATTTACCGAACACGACTACCCAGAAAACGAACTCGCATTCTATCTCCAAGGTCGCTTCCAAGGATGGCGCGAATCAACCCTCCGCCCGCTCCTCTACTGTGCTCTCCACGGAACCTGGGGCCGTGGCCAACACGACCAGAGCCAGCGGCACCCGACGAACCCGCGCGTAATCCACCTCGCTCAAAAAGCCGTCGACACCTGCGCCGCCATGATCGTCAAAACGGCGCACCACCACCGTCACGGCGGAAGCTGGTTCGTCGCCCGCCGCGCATTCTCCTGCGCCGTCATGGTCCTCGCGGTCGTCGCGGCAGGGACCCATCCTGTGGAGCCGCCCTCTAACTGGGACTCTCTCGTGCGGCTTGCGCTGAGAGTTCTCGGTCGATGGGGCAGAGAGGCGCGTGATCTCGAGCGCATGCGGGAGACGCTCCAGCGGCTCTTCCACAGAGTGCAGCAAAAGGTGGGCTCCGGGGTGGCGGTTTGAGGCACCTTGGGCGCCGCGTGGCGCTCGAGTTTAACTCAGATATAGGTACATGGAAGGCTTCTTCTTTCTGCATGAAGGGCACCGGGCGTTCGAATCACATGTCTATCGATCAAGTCCTTGCGAGAAATGGCGGCGGTATCATATAGTCCCGGAAAACTGGTCGTCCGCACACTTTGGGTACGTTTAGAAAGTGATAGGAAATTGATTCGGGCAACATGATGCCGCACAATAAGTAGGGGCTGGCGAAAACGCGTTGAAGAAGTAATTCTGGGCTGGCCAAACCACTCTCCACAGGGTTAACTATGACACGCATCCCTCGGGGTAGACCTTGAATCAAGGGCACGCTCAATGACGGCCAATTGAGGATCATCCATCTCCTAATTACTCGACATACGTCCTGAGGGAAGCTCTCTCTTTCCGCCCTCGGAAAGGAATCAAGTACGAAGACTCTCTGAGGCCTGAAAAGTACTCACCACTACCACTGCAAGCTTGCTTAGACAGTGCGGCGTGAATACGAGTTAGGCATACCAGTGACAGACCTGAACTCGCCTGTGAGGAGGCTGAGAAGAGCACCCGAACCAAAGAAAACCAGTGAACCCGGTTGGGAAATCTCCAGAGCAATCGAAATCTTAGTATTGATGGTGACTAGAGCCAGCCATTCCACCTTCTCATGTAACAGACACATGAGGCGTTCCCACGCGGAAGGTTGGTGACCACCCTGGACGTTTACCTTCCAGCACCCACAACGAAGCACGCATGCGCCTGCACCCAAAGACACTTTCCAATCCATTTCAGTTATAAACATCCAAAGAGTCATATGACATCACCCGCACAATCTCGTCATGGTGTCCACGAACCTCGAAAAGTGTCCTGGTACCCGTAAGTGTACACAGCAGCTTGCAATTCGGGAGCCCCGTCCCTGCAGAATGCAGCCAAGAGATCCGTGACCCGCTCAACTTGTCCCAGTCCAGGTAAGACCATGATTTGCCGAAGCCTCAACCCGCCGGAGTGCCACACTAGTGGTGCCAGAAAAGGTACCCAGAAGGGTGCATGAATAATGAATGCACTCTCATTACTCTGCAAGGATGCTGCTACTCACCGTATTAAACCCAGGCCGCCAAGCAATCACTTAGAAAACAAATGTAGAGAGTATCGTGTTCAACTTTTTTAGTTGTATTAACAGTTATCTTTGAGCGGTAGTGTAAGCTAGTCACAATCGTGACGACTATGTTATCCCCCACACGCCATGCATTCCACATCAACATTTCGCATTACAAGTTGTTAAGATGCGTCCAAATGGGACCCAACTTCAGAGGTGCCTCCCAGGTTATTCACCCGGTAAGACGGGTAGTATACTAGGGGTATAGATAAAAGTGAAAATGGACATTAGATAGACGCGCACTTAGACGTTGGAAGTGCGACGCTCAATGTTGTCGACGTGGACCTTGTCGAGGACGCCGTTGCGGGCGACCTGGGAGGCGAAGGTCTCATGGGGCTTCCACTTGGCGGAAGTGCGAGGAGTGGTCTCCTCCATCATCTTGTCAACCTGCTCCAGGGACAGGCCCTTGGTTTCGGGAACCAAGAAGTAGGTGTAGACCAGGGCGCAGGTGCAGAGACCACCCCAGACGAAGAAGACGGATGACTTGAGGTTGCCACGCTTCTCACCGACCATGTAGGGGGTGATGACGGCAATGATGGTGTTCCAGAGCCAGTTGGAGGCAGTGGACAGAGCAACACCGCGGGAGCGGATGGGCAGAGGGAAGACCTCACCAATGAGAATCCAGGCACCGGGTCCCCAGGTAGAGGCGAACCAGAAGATGAAGATGGCGATGAAGGCAATCTGGGCGTTGACGGCGGGAATGTTGTTGGCGATGCTCTTGGTGGCATCGTTGGGGTCCGGGTGGGTGTGGTTGAAACCGACAGTGACACCAATGATGGCAACGAGGAACTGGCAGATGGTCATACCAGCAGCACCCCAGAGAAGGATGGTGCGGCGACCGAAGCGCTCAACAGTCCAGAAGGACAAGGGAGTGGAGCAGACGTTGACGAGGGTGAAGACCAGGGAGATCAAGAAGGTGTTGCTGATGGCACCGGTGGACTGGAGGAAAGGAGTCGAGTAGTAGAAGATGAAGTTGACACCGGTCCACTGCTGCATCATCTGGAGGGAAGTACCGAGAATGGTCTTGCGCAGGTTGGAGTTGGCCTTGAAGAGGGAACCGCTGAAGCAGTTGGCCCATGAGCCGAACCAGGTGGCAGAGGGGATGAGCTGGCGCTCGTACTCCTCGTTGGCGACGATCTCAGCAAGCTCGACCTGGATGTACTCAGAGTTCTCGGGCTGGCCACGAAGCTTGGAAAGGGAGGCGGCGGCATCGGCGAGTCTGCCCTTCTTGACAAAGTATCTGGGGGAGTCAGGGAACAGCATGAGTCCACCACCAAGGATCAGAGCCCAGGGGAACTGAATGGCGATGGGGATGCGGTAGGCGCCAGTGTCGGTGCGGTCCTTGGTGCCGTAGACGACGCAAGCAGCCAGGAGAAGACCAATGGTGATGCAGAATTGGTATCCGGCGACGAGAGCGCCACGAACCTTCTTGGGAGACTATGAAGTTGTGTTAGTGGAATACTCTGGGAATAATTCGTCAGGGCGCGAGTGTGAAAAGCTTACAATCTCAGACATGTACAGAATGACAACGGCGGACTCGAAACCCACACCGATACCGGCAATGAGACGACCGGTAACGATGGGAGCGAGAGGGGAGGAACCGACACCAGTGATCATCTGAATGACGACACCGATCATGTAGATGAAGCAGCCGAGAATGACAGTCCACTTGCGTCCCATCCAGTCGGCAACGTCACCGGCAATGAGAGCACCAAAGAAAGTACCGCAGGAAAGAATAGAGACGATGAGGGAGGTGTCAGACTCGCCAATGGCGGTGGCACCCTTGCCCTCAACGGCCTCGATGAAGTTGATGGAACCCAGGACACCGTTGATGTAACCGGAGTCGTATCCGAAGAAGATACCTCCAAAGGAGGCAAAGGCGCAGATCAGGTAGGCCTTCCATGTGACGGGAGCCTCAATCTGGTCGACATTGTCGGTGACGGCGAGGCCCTGGACGGGCTCGCGCGTAACGCCGGTTTCTTTCTCCATTGGAGGTTGTTGCTGTTGTTGTTCGCCTCGGGAGCTTGGCGATGATCCGAGCTGATTGTATGGGAAAGGGACGAGAGGAAGCTTGTCGGAAGAGTTGTTGGCGAGGAAGCTCGTGAGGAAGGGAGGGGAGTAAGTGAGAAAGTGAGGGCGAGACGAGGACCTTTTATCAGTCTTGGTGTCACGTCCAGGAAGGTGCAAAGGTAAAGGTAATGCTACGCAACTGCGTCCGTGTCAGTCCGCCTGTCTGGCATGGGGGTGTGTGTGGTAGTACCGACTGATGGACTGGGGACTGAGAACTGGGGGGGAATTGGAGATAGCTTACTAGGGGAGGGGGGTGTGACACCAAGACTTGGGTCCGGAATGGGGAATGAGAATGAGACGACAGGCCAGGCGGATGCGTATGGGTCAGTCAGAGTCAAACAGAGCAGAGCAGGCTGCCGTGTTGTCGATGAAGACCTTACACTACTACGCCTATGCCTATCCCTATGCCGTACGGACGTGGTGAAGACGAGTGTTGGAAGTGTGAGTGTGTGTGTGTGTGGTGCTTCATCTCCCCATTCCGAGGGTCTGCAGGTCACAGTTCATCGAGAACGAGCTCCCATTGGGTTAGCCCCGTTGGTTAGCCGTCCCCATATTGAAGCTCCTGCTAGCTCATGCTTAATAGGGCCGATAACTTTTGGGCAGGCGTGGAGGCCGAGGGGGAAGGGGAGGGGTGGAAGACTAAGAAGAAGGTACGGCGTACGAGGGGGGGTGGGAAGGGGACTCCCGACGAGTTGGGAAGGGGCCGCGGGGCGGGCAGGCCACGGGGAAGGAGGGAAGGACGACGGGGGTGGCAGCCAAACAGTCATGAGAAAGAGAGAAAGAGAGAGAGAGAGACCAAGAGAGGTACAAGGCACCAAGGGTACATGGAAGGAACTGCTCCCCGTCCAGGTTAGCGGGCGATGTGGGAGGTACCTCCCGTCTCCCACAATAGTCCTTGGGCAGGAAGGTACTTGAATTCCTTCCTTCCATTCCTTGGTTCGGTTCTTTACTCACCTGACGATAGCTACCTCAAGGTGCCATTCAGCATTGCGGTCGTACTTGCTCTTCAGGTACGAGGATGAATATGGAGAGCTCAAGGTGCATGCCACCCTAATTTGTGGTCTGTTTGTTTGCGCATTCAATTCTTGTCAATGTTGGAGCGAGCATTTGGGGAAACAAGGACGCCGTGGTTGAAGAGGCACTTCCCCAATTGCCATTGACTTTTTAGGACTTCCGTCCACTGGAGGGGAGCGAGCACCTGCCACGGCAGCCGACGAGTGATATTAAGATAGGTATGCTAGACGGGCCGGAAGGAACAAGCGACTCCTTAGCAAAAGAAGACTGCAAATGTAAGGTACTGAATGCTCCTGTAGCACATACAAAAGGTACATGAACGGAAATGAATTGGAAATCGAGCAGAAGCAGCGTCCACTTGGTAAGAATTCAATGACTCCAAGTGGACCAAAACCATCAGATCATCAATTCCAGGCGGATCTGGACTGAACACGGCCTCACTAGCCATGACCGCAGCAGAGGGGGAAAGAGTAGTTTAGCGGCCGATGCCCACTACCTTGGTGGACAGATTGACTCGTCAGTGGCGCGCGATGACCGGCAGTCCACTACAAGCGCTAAAACATTTGGAAAACTGAGAGCCGGAGGGGATGACAAGTCAAAGGGGGGAAATCATTTCATAGATTGTTAGCACACACGATTATTGGAATTGGACGTGAAAATTAGCCACTGGGGAACAATAACTGGGGGAGACCACACTGGCCCGGGGACTCCAGTCTTCAGCTGTCTGGCCCCCTGGGGACCCCCCTTTCGTGCCCAA